CAACAAAAAATTAAATTAAATCATGTACTTAATTACATTAAATTTCGATAAAAACGATCTCAATTTTATTTGAGCGATTAAAATTAATTAATTAAAAAATTAGTATTTATCGAAACAAAAAAAAAGACTGAGTAAGTAAAATTAAGATCTCAATAATTTCTTTTTTTAATAAATAAATCAAAATTTATCACGAAAATGTACGGGGTGTGTCAAAAAAATCTCATTTAAATTTAGCACCCTCTAAATATGTTATATATATGTATATAAATATATATAAATACAGTAAAACCTCGATAAAAATTTAATGCACAAAAATTCAAACACCGTTGCGTTTTGTATTAGCTAGTCAACTTCCGGTTATAAATATTAATTTTATTTTCTTAATCTACTTGAAAAATCCTTTAAAATGAGTCCAAACACGATGTAGTTATCTCAAAATACAACGGAAATATTACAAAAACTAATTAATGATATGAAGTTGGCTACGAATTAAAAATATTAATATCTCCGTTCATTTTTGAGATAACATCTTCGTGTTTGGATTTATTTTAAAAGATTTTTAATAAAGATTAAATGGAGATTAAAAAAATACAAAATTAAAGTTGACGTTGACAATCGGAAGTGGACATTTCGGTTATTTTAAAAAATAAATGTGTCGTGTTTGTATTCGTTTTAAAAGGAATTTGATGGAATTTATGAAGATTACAAATTTGATGAAAAAATTTTAAAATTATTTTTATTAATTATCAATAAGGTCAACTTCCGATTTGTCAACGTCTACTTTAATTTTGTAATTTTCTTGATCTACTCGAAAAATCCTTGAAAATGAGTCCAAACACGATGGGATATCAAAAAGTATCTCAAAAAGCAACGGAGATATTACAAAAATTAATTAACGACATGAAGTTGGATACTAATTAAATATATTAATCTCGCCCTCATTTTTTGAGATAACATCGTCGTGTTTGGACTCATTTTAAAGGATTTTTCACGAGGATTAAGAAAACTACAAAATTAAAGTTGACGTTTTCAACCGGAAGTGGACAATATCTTGGTTATTTTAAACAATAGATGTATCGTGCTTGTACTCGTTTTAAAAGGAATTTTATGGAGATTTCAAATATGATGAAAACATTTAAAACGGAGAGACTTGGGGAATAACCAATAATATTTAAATTTACTAACAATATTTTGTCCGTTTTAACGAGGTCTGTTAAATAGAGGTTTTACTGTGTATATATAAATTTTTTTTTTAATAAAATAGATTTTGGCGCAAGTATTGATTTCGTAGGAGAATCTAAAAAGTATTCGTTTAAGACTGAGGCCGTTTATTTTAAAATGGCCATCTAACTCTTTGAGAATCAAAATTACTTTTAATAAAAAAAAATAAATTAATTAAAAAAAGTCGTGCGATTGGCTCTAAACCAAGAAAAATTAATAAAATGTTGTTGCGATTATTACAAAGATATTTTTGTATTTTTAATTTTTTTTTCTTTGATTTTATTATTTTTTTAATTTAATTTGTTTTTGGAAAGGGAACACGTCCTGTGTAGTTATTAGTTGCATTGCGCAAGTTCGTGTTAATTGATGCAATATTATGATTATTATTATATAACGATATATTTGGAAAGACCGTGTATATCTGTACTCTCATTTATTTTTTTTTTCATCTTACTGCGTACATATATACACGACGCATAGATATATATTAATATATATCACATATTTTATGTACTGTTGTATTTATGTTGAAATATATTTTTACATCGGCAAAACAGCTTGGGTTTTATTTGCTTGTTGTTCTTATATTTCTCTTAATTTTTTTTATATTAATTATTATTTATTTATTTTTATTTATTTTCGATTGGCCTCGTTCAATGTTGTAGCGTTTTTTTGTTACTCAATGTTATTACCCCATCTTGCTTTATAAACCTCATTAATACAATTTAAAAAAATTAAAAAAGAAAAAACCGATCGAAAACAAACTAAACCATTGCAGACACATTTATTTTAAACCACCCCCCCTAAGAACCAAAAACAAAAATAAAAAATAAGAAAAAAAGAAAGTGTGTTAACTAAGAAAAGTGTATAGTATGGCGGTGCGAAGGCGTCGTTCGGTCTCGGAATAAAGACCGTCGAAGAACGGACGTCGCCATCGACGGTGGTCATCACCACCACTACGACGACTTTAAGGCGACGGCGAGGATGGCGTCAACAACGATGCGTTTGACCGCCGAAGAGAAGACAACGACGGTCTCGCTCCAGCGGGAGATGTTGTGTGGTGTTGCAGGCGCGTCGCCGAAGAAGGTCTTCACCTGCCAATTGTGCGGAAAGATGCTCTGCTCGAAAGCGTCCCTCAAGAGACACATCGCTGATAAACACGCCGAACGACAGGAAGAGTATCGATGCGTCATTTGCGAGAGGGTGTATTGCTCGAGGAACTCATTGATGACGCACATCTACACCTACCACAAATCCAGGCCTGGGGACGTCGATATTAAGTTCTTTTAGCCAACCCCGTTCCCAGGTACTACAAAAATTCTTCTACAATTAAAAAAATCTACAAAAATTTGAAGAAAACCGTCTTTCTATTCTACAAATTTCTTCTACAAATTTTATTTATTATAAAATTACTAACACTGCCAAAAAAATCAAATCGGGATGAACGCAATTTATATTAATTGTAAATTAAATAATATTAAGGAACTATCACAAATTAAAAGAAATGTTACTTGGGGAACAATTTTATTAATCTACGTTAATATATTATATTTAACTTCGTAATCTTCTCGAAAAATCCTATAAAATGAGTCCAAACACGAGGGAGTTATCTCAAAAAACAACGGAGATATCACAAAAATTAGTTAATGATGTGAAGTTGGCTACGAATCAAAAATATTAATATCTCTCTCATTTTTTGAGATAAACTCTTCGCGTTTGGATTTATTTTAAAGAATTTGTTTAAAATTAAACAAAAAAAATTACAAAATTAAAGTTGACGTTGACAACCGGAAGTTGACATTTCGAGTGCAGTTTTTAAAAGGATTACAAATTTGATGAACAAAATTAAAATAATTTTTTTTTTATCAAAATATGATCAACTTCCGGTTGTAAATGTTAATTTTAATTTTGACATTTTCGTAATCTGCATGATAAGTGCTTTAAGATGTGTTCAAACACCACTAATTTATCTCAAAAAATGGCCGAGTTACAAAAAAAAATTAATTTATTAATAACATGAAGTTGGCAACTTATTAAAAATATTAATATCTAAGTCATTTCTTGATTTTTCATAATGATTGAAAATACGTCAAAATTATATTTTTTAAAAACGTTGACAACCCATTCGGTTATTTTTAAAAATGAATATATCGTGTTTGTATTCATTAAAGATAATTTTATAGATTTAAAATTATTTATAAAAAAAAATTTGGCCTACTTCCGGTTATAAACGTCAAAATTAATTTTGCGATTTTCGTATCTTTATAAAAAATCCTTTAAAACGAGCCCAAACAAGACTAATTTATTTCAAAAAACAATCGAGTTACACCCAAAAATTGATTAATTTGGTAGTAACATGAAGTTGGCAACTTATTAAAAATATTAATATCTAAGCCATTTTTTGAGATAACCCTTTCGTGTTTGTACTCATTTTAAAGCATGTTCCATAATGATTAAGAAAATATCAAAATTAGTTTTGATATTGACAACCGGAAGTAACCCATAAGTCGGTTATTTTTAAAAATAAATATATCGCGTTTGTATTCATTTCAAAGAGAATTTTATGAAGATTATAAAAATATAATTTTTATTTTAATTATTTAGGTAATACGGGCAACTTTCGGTTATAAACGTCAAAATTAATTTTGTGATTTTCGTAATATCCATTAAAAATCTTTTAAATTGAGTCCAAACATGACTAATTTATTTCAAAAGACGACCGAGATATATCAAAAAATAAATTATTAAATAGCATGAAGTTGGCAAATTAAAAATGTTAATATTTCCGTCATTTTTCGAGATTGAGCCCAAACACGAAGGGGTTCGTGTTTGGGCTCATTTTAAAGGATTTTCCATAATAATTAAGAAAACATCAAATATAATTTTGACATTGACAACCGGAAGTAACACAAATTTCGATTATTTTTAAAAATGAATATAGTATTTAAAAAAAAATTTCTTAATATGTATTAAAAATCCTTTAAAATGAGTTCAAACATGACTCATTTATCTCAAAAAATAGCCGAGTTGCAATAAATTAGTGATAAAAAATAGCCGAGTTGCAATAAATTAGTGATAATAACATGAAGTTGGCAACGAATCATTAATATCTCCCTCATTTTTCGAGATAACCCTATCGTGTTTCGGCTCATTTTAAAGGATTTTTCATAATAATTCAGAAAACAACAAAATTAAATTTGAGATTCTTGATCTCGCTTATTTTTAAAAGTAGATATATCGTGTTTGTACTCATTTTAAAGGAAATTTAACGTAGATTTCAAATCAATCACTTAAATATGTTAATTGAGTGACCCCCAAGTCACGTTTTATCCTAAATCGCGTTCATTCTTCGATTAATTTCACCCTAAATCTAATTTATCTCGTTTTCTTCATTCAAATTTAAAAGAAAATGGTTATAAAAGTCGGGTTTCGAACCAAAAATTCGTCGGTTTTATTTAAAACAACTCCCCATCAAACAAAAAAATTGTCTGCTTTTTTGGTTTTGCAGTTCGCAATCGCTTTCGTTATTTATTTATTTACCATTTTTGTTTTTAATTTGTAGTAATTACTTATTTTTGGCATCAGCAGCTTCTTGCTTGGCTTTATACGAAAACAAAATTAAGCATGTACTATCGTTTTCTTATTTTTGATTTAATCCTTTTAATAGTTTAAAAAGTCGTGAAATTCGGGTTAAAATGAAATAAAACAAGAAATATGAAAGAATTGATAGTGCGCGTACGCATTATCTGACTTGGCGCGTTGTGTGCTGTGTGTTGCAGGCGCGATCCGAATGCCGCCACCTACCGCCGGCGGGATCAACGAGCCCCAAGAATGCCCATATTGCAGACGGACCTTTAGCTGTTATTACTCGCTGAAGAGACATTTCCAGGATAAACACGAACAATCGGACACGCTTTATGTGTGCGAATTCTGTCATCGTCGTTATCGCACCAAAAACTCGTTGACAACGCACAAAAGTCTTCAGCATCGCGGCTCGAGCGGTATGTTGAAGCGACTACTGAAAACGACGGCCATCAAAAGCGTGTTAGGACCGGCTCCGACGCCGCCACGTCTTCAGTGACATCGTCAGCATTACCACCGAAGTCAGTATCCAGCTACATTTTAAAAAATTTTTATCCCCCTCACCTGGCTACTACCTCAATACACCCAGAAAATGAATACGACATTTTTGAGTTAATTCAAAGAGAACGATTTTTTGAGATAAGTATTTTTCGAGGTGTTTTCTCTTTTGGGCTGCTAAAAAAGTACAAAAAAAGTTGTGACAGCTCGATGATGTCAAATTTTTATGTCAAATTTTTACGTCAAATTTCAAATTTGGTTAACTAGCACCAATTTAACGTACAAAAAGTCAACTTTTTTATTTTTAAATTGGCTAAAAGATGAATTAATGAATTAAGTATTCGCTAAAGTGTTTTTGCTGTCTTAAAACAGTAATTAATTAAGAGGCGTTTTATCGACATATCTTATTCCAGGGTTCTTGACTCGTATCTTTCTAATGTATGTATATAAAATTAAAATATTATTAAAGAAAAAAAATGTGCCAACCATCCCGTACTTCCAAAAAAAAATGATTTTTGTTTAATCAGGACGATATCAGGGCACGAATCATTTTCGGCTACCTTTTCGACCTATTTTCTTAAGTGCTGTGAGATTTTTCGGGAATATCCGTTATGATTATTATTAATTTTGTGGAAAAAAAGGCGCATTTCGAATTTTTTGTGATACGACCCAGCCAAAGACAAAATTAGTTTTTGAAACGAAAAGAAAAATAAATAAAAAATGAAAGAAATATTTTTTTAAATCGTGCCATAGATTAGGATTTTTCGTTTTTAAAATAATTATTTGCGAAAAAATAACTTTTCACCACAAATAAATAAAGTGGATTCCCAACGAATTTATGATTTCCAATTACAGGGTATTAATTATTCACAAAGAGATACATTGTAATAAATTAAAATTATTTATCTCACAAACAATATCGGAAAATGTAGAAAATTTAATGTAAAATGAATTTTAAACACGTAGTAAATATTCGCTCGGTTTTAATGTAAAATAATATGTGGCAAAGAGGAAATCGAATTAATATTATATTAATATAAATACCGTGTTTAAATAATCATTTTTTAAAAATTACTTAAATTACTCATTTCAGAGTAAATAAATAGGTTCCAATGAACTGGAAATAATTTATAAATATCGAAATAGAGCTAACTGGTAAATAAATATTCCATTTCATTTCATTTATTACATTTAAAATTATCGCAAATATTAATTTTTACAATAAATTTAAAAATCACCTAAGAGTTATGTAACCCATTATACACACTAGTTAATTTGGTTGCTTATAAATTAAAGTTAAAAATTATTTTATTTAAAAATCGTTACGTAAAAGTTTATGGGAATTAAGTCATTATTTCATGCTCATTAAATCTTTATTAAATTTGCTTCAAAACGTTCCATATTTCATTAAAATATCTCAACTAGTTCTTCAGATATAACTTCTTAAAATTCCACTTTTCTAAATCAATATCCACGCTTAATAAGTTCAATTTTTGTGCATAAATGACTTGTCGTGTTTTTAAGTTGTTCAAGAAACCCCAAAATTTGATGTTGAACATATCATGTTTTATAACATTTAAGAAAACTTTTTCCAAAATAAAGTTGGTACTTGGAAGCAAATTTAAGCGAGTAATCACTTTGGAGAAGTGTCCAGAAGAATTTTGAACTTGTTTTTGACTACACCATGTAACATGACATGTTCAGAAATGCATCAAATTCAATCTAGAAGAAGACAGAAACATGGCAAAATAACTAGAAGATCTCTTAAAATACGTTAAAAATGGTTTAAACATGATTTTTAGTATACCATATTAATTTGGAGCTACAGAAACACTTCAAATTTGTGTCAGAAATCATTTGGAATCTGCCAAAATAATCGCAAGTGATTAATTATTTTAAGACATTATTCAGAAGCACTTTAACTTACTTTTTGCCTACACCAGTAAAGAATGCAAGTTCAAAAACAATTCAAATTAAGTGTAGAGAAAGACTAGAATATGGCAGAATAAATAAAAGTGTGTAATCAGCTTTTAATATACTCCAGAATCACTTTAAACATGATTTTGAGTACTGCATGACAATTTAGAAGCACTTCAAATTTGTGCAAATGTTAATTGGATCATGGCATAACAAACAGAAGTTTTTAATCGTGTTAGGACATTGTTTAAAAACAGTATAAACTTGTTTTAGGTTTCACCAAATGATATGGTGTGTTCAAAATTGTTGTTAGAAGCTTCCAATTGTTCAGAAAATAAATTTTTGAGTGGTGAAAAGTTATTTTTTGTAATAAAAAGATCCTCTAAAGTTTTACATTTATCAATAGAAAATTTTTAAAGGTTTAAAATTGAAAGTATATCAATGGATTTTTTCGCATATCGAACGTAATTGAAAGAAACAGCTCATGCCAACGGAGAGTATAGTAAAAAGAAAAAGAAATCTATATTTCAAATATATAAGAAGAAAAAAATTAAAACAGTATTAAAAATTTGTATCTATATGGTGTAGAAATTTAGATATTTTATAAGGATATACGAAACAAAAATTATACATATATATATATATATATTTAAAAATTTTATCTTTCTATTATCTTATTAATTAATTATTGACTAAAAGGGAAAAAAATGAATCTGCGATTTGTAGATTTTGTTACTGGCTAAAAAGTAAGAAAAAAAAATTAAATAAAAAAAACAATTATGGCGTGGACGTAGGTGTTAGTAACTGTATCGTATTTAACTGTTAAAAAAGAAATTATTAAAATGTAAAAGGAAAATGTAAATTATTTGATTTTTTCGAAATCGAAGAAATTTCTCAAAAAAGAAAAGGAGACTATTTTTTTTAAATCTGGATGGAAAGAGTGAAGAGACATATCAAAAAAAAATTTCTTTTTAATTTTAATTAAATTAAATTAAATCGAGAATTTCTTCTTCGGAATCGAAAATCAAAAAACGAAGAAACGAGGCTAAGACAGAACGATTCAAAAAATCCAAACCAAGAACAAAAGAAATCAATAAAACTAGATTTTGTTTATTTAAAAAACAAACGAGAAGATGGAAATCGAGAAACATGATGCCTTGAAAACAGTACAACAAATTATTAAATATACACAAAACGAACAAAAAAAAATTACGACTTTTAATATAGACATTAAAATAAAAATAACGAAAAAAAATATCACTGTTATATACCTCAATACTCAGATGTCCTCATATGTACTTATGTATATTGTAGACTAAGTAAAAAAAGAAAACAACTTTTTTTAGAATTTAGGTAAAAGAAAAACTCCTTCACAAACAAAAAAGCGATTTTAATAAATTAAAAAAAAATAAATAAATAAGCCGACTTGGACTACTCTAGATTATAAAAGAAATAAAAAAAATCTAAATAAAAATTAATCGTAGTTAATTAATTAATTTAAAACCTTGAATAGATCGTTATGATTTTTTCTTTTTGTGATCCATTAGTTCTTTCGAGATCGTTTTTGAATTGTTAATTATTAAATTTTGATTAATTACATTTTTAGATTTTTAAATAATCGTTTTTTACTTTATATTTTTGTTATAAGTTAGAAGCAAACAAAAACTGCCAAAAGATGCGATAAAACAATCCTAATTTTTCATTTCTTATCGCGTCAGCCTAAAAATACAAAAAAGAACTAATGGAAATAAAAAAATCTAAAGAAACCTGTACATTCTTACGTTTAATTATTAAAATTCATTATTTTTTATTTTTAATTAAGTAAAAACATTGTAAATATAAATATCGATTATGTTCCTTTTTATTATTATTATTATTATTTTTATTATTTTCGCGTAGCTGCTTACGGGATTTTTTCGCCTCAACAAAACATGAAACGCTTCCATTATCCTTCTTTTTATTTCTTTATTATTATTATTATTATTTTTTTAGTCGTTCGTTAGGGATTATTTTTTATTTAATTAAAAACAAAAAAATTTAAATCTAATAAATTCTATTATTACTGATAACTTTTGTTATTAAAAAAACTTATGAATATATTACGATATGATTGTTGGTGTAATAAAATTACTTGAAAATAACAAAAAAGTTGTATTTTAATTATTACCTTAATTTAAAAAAAGAAAGTTATGCACTCATTTTACACCCCTTTATTAATCAAAATTTAATTAAAAATTTAAAACGAATATAACAAGAAATTACTTATTTATTATTGTTTTATCTTTTTTCAAATTATAACTTATTTGTAAAAAAGAAATTTGAGAAACTAATAAAATAATTTCATCAAAAATTAATTTGACATATAAACGTCAAAAATTTATTTTCTTAATTTTAACTTATTACCATTTTATTACGATTATATTCAATTTTTAATTAAAATCTTGTAAAATCTAATCAATTAAAACACAATTTCTTAATTAAAGATTTTTATTTGCCATTACTTAAATTATCCTAATTTGTTTAAAAATACACAAATTATGCAACTCATTTTACATTACTTATTTTATAAATAAATATTTATATAAGAATTTGAAACAACAATTTTTAAAATACCATAAATTATCTTGCCATTTGAAACGTCAAATTTAAATTTAAGTAAATCTTTCTCATTCCAATTTAAATAGTTTTTTATACAAATAAATATTTTCATAATTTTATATAAAAGAAATCTTTAATTAATTTGAGTAAGTTTTAATTTATTAATAAAACAAGAAATAAAAATAATAAGAATACATTTATTATCAAAAATAAATTTGTAATTCTTAGAAAAACTTCATTCAATATATGATAATGTATCAGAGATTATTTTTAACATCAAACTAGTTACGGTATCATCTAATTCATTATTAAAATTCATCTTTTTTAAATAATCACTCTCTAACATTTTAAATTCCCTTAAAACGTTAGTCTCCATTCCCAAAAATTCTTTATTTGGAACACGTTTTTGAATCTCCTCCAACAACTTTTTAGAATCAACCAAGAACGCATTAAATTTTGCAATATCCTCCTCTGTTTCAAGCCGTTGCACATTCTTCAAATAAAGATATCCAACTTTATCATTAAGAACATTACCAACTTTTTCTAATCGATTAAATAGATCATCCACTAAAACTTTCACAGCTTCGACGATGCAAAGTTTAACGTTATTTTTCATCTTCGTTAGCTTTAATTTTAATTCAATTGAGTCGATATTTTCCTGTAATGATGACAACTCAAGGTAGGTGTTTTGCAATTCATTCAATCGCTTAATAAGGTAATTCTCAATGATTTGTTTTTTCGCTTTTATAGTTTCCTCTTGAACATGTTTCATCATTAATGCATCTAGGTAATTTTGAGTTGCAAAATCCGCATTAAGAGAATAAAAATCGATTTCATCTTCGTCGATTTCTGATAAAGTTCCAGATTTTCCCGTTTTAGATGTTTTATTGATAAATCTTGATATATTGTGGCGAGACATTATTGAAAATCTGATTGAAAATAAATTTAAATTTGAGGTTATGTTTATAGGTTATGTTTATATGACGTTTCATTTCAATTATGCGTAGGTAATAAAGTTACCGACTCATTTAGTAGTTTAATTTAATAATAAAAGTAATAATTTACAAAAATTGTTTTATTAAACCAAAATAATCAAAAATTAGCATAGTTATTAACATTTTCATATTTAATTATTAATTAATCGATTTTTTTTGACATTCACTTCGTTGCCATAGTAACTAAATAACCTCAAATTTCCACACAAAATCGAGTCAATTCTTGTTGTTTTTAATCGATTAAAACTGAAATAAATTGATTATATTAAGTTTAGAATGAAAAATCAATCGTATAAAGCAAAAATTTTATTTATAGGACCCCCGAAGGTAAATAAATCTTTTAATTAATCTAGTTACAAGAAAAACAAAAACGTCAAACAATAATAAATTAATATTTCAAGATGATTTTAAATAAATCAAATCTTTTTGCTCGAAATCTGATTAAAAACGTTGCTTATTCCCATCATCATAATCCAGGTGGAATTCCGGGAGCTAATCTTCCGTTCAACATCCACAAGAAAGGGATGTTGACGGCGAAGTTTTGTATTTATTACGGAGTTGCGTTTTCAGCCCCTTATTTACTCGTTATTTACATGATAAAGAAGAAACAATAATGAAACATTCATTATTCAACAATTTTATTCATTTTCGTTGATTTAATTTAAATGTTTATTACTAGTCTGGTAAAACAAAGCTTACAAATTTCCTTGCGGATCAAATTCTCCAAATCCCAGATGATTTCGATATAATCGAACCATTAAGGATCGTTGAGTACGACTTATATGACATTCAAATCGACGGGAACCTTTCGAATGTTGATGTACAAATTTGGGATGCTAGCGGAGATGATAAGTGAGTGATAAAACGATTTTATTTAATGATATAGTTAAATTTTGTAGATTTGTACCTTATTGGGCTGTGTTTCGTAAAAACATTGATGGAATTGTTTTTGTTTATAATGAGGAAGACGATATTGGAGCTAAGAAATTGGATTATATGTACAATTACTTTGTTTCACAACCTAATAGGAGTTTAAGAACTTGTTTGGTTTGTTGCGTTGAGAATGAGGAGAAAAACGTTAAATTACGTAAGATGTTCCCAACAATTTTAATCAATTCTAACCAGTATGTTTTAGCTCAAATTTTTTCGAAAATATCTCAAATCACCATTAATTTGGAGGCACCCACTGATAAAATCAAACAAGATTTTACCAAATTTATTATTACTGTTGTTAATACTGTTATAAACAAATAAATTTATTTTGACAACTTTGTTTTTAGCGCCATCTATTTTTGACAGATCAAACTAAATTAATTCAAACATAACCTCAACACATTTTTAATGAATTTCGCATTCAACAGATTTCTTTAAGCTAATATTTCCTCAAATAGAGAAAGAGAGACAATCAATATTATCTTTAAATAGAGAGTAGTGAAAATGGCGTATTTGACAGACTATGCATGTTTTCGTACGTTTTAAAGTGTCTCCACCATCGAGGACAACTCACTCAGCGTTAAACTGCTTTAATTGATCAAAAGAGAGTGCGTCAAATCGGGATAAACGAGAACGTTAAATGTGTAGAATGTGACCTAATTCCCGTGAGCGAGAAAATAAGGAAGATTTTTTTTTGTGTAAGAAATCTAACACGCGACGTTGTTGTACAACAGTTTCTGGTGTAAACAAAGAGTGATTTAAAGAAAAATAGTAATAATGGAGACTGTTGGTGATTATGAGTATAGCACCAAAGACCTAATTGGTCAAGGGGCTTTCGCCGTGGTTTTTAAGGGGCGAAGTAAAAAGGTTATTAATTATTACCGAAAACATTCAAGGATTACTAAATAAATATTTGTTATAGAACCCACAACTAATCGTGGCTATCAAAAGCATCATGAAGAAAAGTTTAGCGAAATCACAAAATTTATTGGGAAAAGAAATTAAAATCCTCAAGGTAAACAATATTAACAAATTCATTGAGTGTTTTTGTTTTAATCGCACGTGTAATCATTTTTTAAATAAATTTGATGAATAATCAGATTTCTAATAACATTCGTTATCTCGTTTTATATCAGGAATTAACGGAACTACATCACGAAAACGTTGTTGCACTTTTGGATTGCAAAGAATACCCCCAACATGTTTATTTGGTTATGGAGGTAAGAAATTAATAAATAATTAATAAAAATTTATTTACAAAACTTCTTCAACAACGAAATCTTTTTCTTCCGCGCGAGTTTTAACCGGAATATAAAGCTTCCTCTTGTTGTGCATGTAATAAGCTGCGATGGCGCAAAACACCACGAAGAGTATCATTAATATTAAAACTCCAACTCCGGAAATTGCACCTTCCTCGATTTCTTTCGGCTTTTCAATTTCATCATCCATCGTAGCTTTTGATAATGCATAGCTGTTGATGAATCATTACTTTTAATGATGCAATTACTTTTTTTTTGTACTTACCAAGAAAATAATATAAAAAAAATCAAGAAATGAGTTTTCGAAACCATTTTCGGTGAAATTTACGATGTTATGACGCTATTTCGTTATCAATAAAATGAAGTTGAGATTAGATAACAAATTTGACTTTGATTTTATCGAGATTTAAAATAGAAATAAAAATTATTTTTTTTAATTTTGAGGTTATGTCAATTTTTTTTTTATAATTTTGAGGTGTTAAAAATTTTAAAAATTTTTTTAGTATTGCAACGGTGGTGATTTAGCTGATTACTTAGGAGATAAAGGAACGTTAAGTGAGGATACAATTCGTCTCTTTTTAATACAATTAGGTGCGTAAATTAAAATTTTTTAATATAATAATTAAATAAATTTTTTAATTTTAGCTGGTGCTATGAAAGCTTTATACGCTAAAGGAATAGTTCATAGAGATTTAAAGCCCCAAAATATCCTGCTTTCACACAGCGGGCAAAAATCGTATCCAGAACCGAGTGAAATTAAATTAAAAATTGCCGATTTCGGGTTCGCTCGGTTTTTGCAAGATGGGGTTATGGCGGCGACTTTATGTGGGAGCCCTATGTATATGGCCCCCGAAGTGATCATGTCTCTAAAATACGATGCTAAAGCTGATTTGTGGAGTTTAGGAACGATCGTTTTTCAATGTTTAACTGGAAAGGCCGCTTTTCATGCAACGACACCAACAGCTTTAAAACAATTTTATGAAAAGAACGCTAATTTAGCCCCAAAGTAACTATTATTTAACTTTATTAGAATAAATGAATTAATTTTTGTCGTTATAGGATTCCTCCGGGAACAACAACTGAATTATGTGATTTATTAAACGGGTTGTTAAAAAGAAATGCGAGAGAACGGATGAATTTCGACCAATTTTTTAACCACAAATTTTTACAACGACCATCGGTAACACCCCCCGCTGAAATTCCAGTTGTTGAGGCATACGCTACCTCTCCGATTATGAAACCAACTCTACGGGCGGCTACTCCAATTAAAATTGGAACCCCACCAACATCACAACCAGGTTAATTTCATTAATTTTAAATAAATTAATATCTAATAAAATAAATATTTAATTTAATTATGTTAAGATTCTCCGAGAAGTGCAAGAATTATTTTAAGTTCGAGCCCCGAAGATGATTTCGTTTTAATCCCGGAACATTTAACTGAAAGTTATACAAACGATAAACAGTAAGTTTGATATATAAATAAGGATAATTAATTTTTATAGATAAATTTAAACAAATTTTTTTTTGAGGTTATGTAATTTTTTTTTGAGGTTATCCTTTTTTTTGTGTGATATCAATTTTTTTATATAGATAATGATTTAAACTCTATAAAGAGAATTAATTTAAGTTATTTTTTAATTTAGTATGAAGTTACCAATAAAAAATAACCCACAACCTTGCGCTCCAAGCGCGAGTCCACCAAGACCGAGTTTTCTGCCAATTAGTGAGCCAATCCCAGTTCCTTCTCAACGACAAACTTACCAAAAAATGATTAATAGGGGGAATAAAAACGAGAAGAGTACCGAGCAAGAAGTAAATTCATCATAATTTATTTATTTTTTAATGAATTAAATTAATTTTTAGGCGGATAATAACGTGCTTGTTCCACGATCGCAACCTATTAACATGAAAAGATCTGAAAATAAAAACGTGCAGGATATCGATATAAGTTCGTGGTCCCCACCGTCGGTTCAATTCGTAATTGGAACACCCCCGGGATCTGGTAGACGGAGAACTTCGAGCAGTAGTTTGTGCGAAACTCCTCCACCACCGAATTTATGGTCCGAATCTCCTGTTTCAACTAAAGTTGTCATGCCTAGTAATTCTCCTTTAAGAAGATCGGGTTAGTAACAAAATATTTTATCAACATAACCTCAATTTTTATTTTGACCTTTAAAAAAAGTGAGGTTAATACTTTTTGATTTATTAAAATCGTTTTTTAGGGACTTCTCCCCCAGTTCTTTTGGGTCCATTAGCAAAAGTACCGTTATTTAGTCCAACGCAAAACGATAATAATAATTTGAGACACCCTTCGTTCGGAAATTTACGAGCTATGACATTACCTGAAATCTCGGAAATGAATAATTTACCTGCTTTCTTCACCGATACTAGTACTTATGAGTGCCCACCGATTGATTTTAAACCTCCTGATTTAGAAGAAGAAACTTTACTTGATGTAAATAATAATCATAATTAAAAAAAAGAAATTTTTTATTTCTTTTTGCATTTTTTAGAGAGAACATAATGAGATTTTAGCAAAAATTAATTTTGTATTGGCGTTAAGTAAATGCGTGCTTGAATTGGCATCAGCAAAAGGGGCTCCGATTCCTTTCGTGGTTGAATACATGGCCGATGTTTCTCATTCAGCACCACCGATTAAACGAGCCGAGCAATTGGTGCTGATGGTGAGGGCTTTGCAATTGTTGGGGTCTGGATTAGCTTTGGCTACGCATCAATTGAAAACGAAAAAATTACGAGCTACTAATTCGGTTAAAAACGGTAAATTTCGAAGTTAACTTGAGACATGTGTTAATTTTTAAATTTTAGTTATGTCGACGTTGAATACGAAATTTAGAACGACGTTATCGTCGTGTAAAAAATTAAATAACACAGGGATTTTATCGAAGATTGCTTCAGCTAATATCACAGCTGATAAATTATTGTACGATTATGCTATGAAATTGGTAAGAATAAATTAATGTGCTTATATTTAGCTTACTATTCGTTTTTTAGTGTCAAACGGCTGCTTTAGATGAATTATTTGGTAATCCATCGGAGTGCTTCCAACGGTACCAAACGGCACAAATTTTGCTTCATAGTTTAGGTCAACAGGTGCAGAATCTCGAAGATAAAGAGTTATTAAAGAAATGTACGTATTTTTATTAAACTTTATTAATAATTAATTAATTTTATATTAATTAGACCAAGATGCTGTGGAAAAGCGACTTTTTGTACTACAACGGCAAGGATACATTTATGCAACGGATAACGTGAGTTAAGTTAATAAACGAAGAAATAAAATTGTTTTCAATAAACCTAATTAAGGAGTATTTAAGAGATGTTTTTCTGTGTTATCGTTAAATTTTTTTGTAACTCGTTTAACTTTATGTATTTCGAATGGAAGTAAAAAGGTGTGGATCAAGAATGAACGATTAATATTTAATACGATTAATTTATTAAATTGTTTCGTAAACATTAGAGATAATTAAAAGGTGTATAACATATCTACTTGGTCCTAAAAAAGTTTTGGGGAATCCGGTTTTATTTCATCCTTTGTAGATATGTAAATAAATAATTTTTTCGATAGTGCTCAATAAATAAATTAAAAACATACTTATTCAACTCATTAAAGTATTAAAATGGATATTGTTAAATGTACTCATTTTATTTTTGACAGTTACTTAACCTAAAAATTTTTCTTGGTTATTTGACATAACCGAAAATTAGGCAACCAAATAAACACTAAAATGATTACATTTTTCAAAAATAATTTATTCGATTCAAATTCTGTATAAATGTAAAAAAAAGTTCCCTACTTTCGTTAAAAGTTAAAAAATAAATAAGAATTGTAAGATTTAGTAAGGCCAAAATAAAAAAAAAAACGATTGAGATTACAAAAAAGAAGTTCTTCCAATTAATTTAATTCGATTAATTAATGTTTTTGTGTTTTCGTTTAATTGTACGTTTAAAAAAAAATGTAAACTTATAATCATTAAAATAAAAAAAAATTATCTATTTCCTCGATTTTTATTTTATTCAAATTAATCCTCGCCCAGAATCTGTTGCTAAGAGACGAGATGAGACGATTTTTGACGAGAAAATATCGATCCATTCAAAAAAACCAACATTATATCACAAATACATCTTAAATTAATCCAATCTTAATTCTTAGTTGTTAAGAAATCCTTTTTGCACCTCATCAATTAAAAAAAATTGATGCAATTACTTCTATTAACCCAATTTGTGATTGAAACGTTTGAGATCCCCTGGAAATTCTCCAGCTTCCCTCAGCCACATCCCCATCTCTTTAGTAACCGTGCAGATTCGATCTGATTCAGTCGCTGAATTTGATCCTCTCAATAAAAAATAAAAACCGGATTAAAAGATTGTATCAAAAAATAAAAAGGACTTTATATTCTCTTTTAATTGATTAAGATCCCGTAGCATATTGTAGTTTAGTTTCAAATCTTTCTTAGCTAGATTAAATCCTTTAAAGTAGCTAAGAGCACATCATTCAAGATGAAGACTTCGTCGTTTTCACTTCGCGTCATGAGACGGGTAAGGTACCTGTTGGATTATAACAATGCTTCTTTGTGTTTGTACATTTTTGCATTGACATAACCTAAAAAAGAAAAAAATTAAATCGTGTTAATGTTTATTTGTATGTTAACATTTAATGTTGCTTGATGTCGATGTAATTAATTTTTTTTTTATTTTCAGTTAATATTAAATAATGCAAGTTATCAACAATTAATATAAACAATTATTAATAATTATTAATTTATGAGCTGTCACTGTCAATATCAAATTTAAAAGTAACACCAACCTAAATTATTTTTTTAGGATTTATCTTATTTAATAAATTAAATGTAATTTTATTAAAAAAATCATTAGCATTTCTTGGATTATAACAATTCTTCTTATTTTGTTAATTTTTATATTGATTTATTTTAAAAGAAAATAAAATCGTATTAATTTTTATTTGGAATCATTTATTGTTAATTTATTTTGAGTTAATATATAATGCAAAAGAAAATGAACATTTTAAAATAAAATCATTAAATTTCGAACGAAAATTCTTATTATTAACAATTTTAATACAAATTTATTAATAATTATTAATTTATGAGTTGCCACTGTCAATTTCAAATTTAAAAGTAATACCAACTTAATTTATTTTTAGATAATTATATTATTTAATCTCAATTTATTTAATATTTAATAAATTAATCCAATTTTTGATTATAAAATATTAGAAACGAGCGTACAGGTGTTGGAAAAATGTAATTTTAGAGGAAAACGATTCGTCTTCGCTCGAAAATCGTAATATAAACTTACAAAGTTTGAAAATCCGAATCCTCCACACGTCTTACGTACTTTATTACCTTCGTAACCTTGAGTTTGAGTCAATATTCGATGACCTAAAACCGAAAAGATTTTATTTTTTAAATCAAATATTAAATTGTCAAATTTGACGTTTTTAATTTGATTTTCCCGCTAAAATGTGACATCACCCACTTCACTCCTATTTGTTTTTCAACCATAATGGCCGTTAATAAGCGGTAAACTTAGCAACAAAAAAGTTGTTTTTAATCAAAAAAGAAAGTGTCAAAGATATTATTACATTTTTATTTAAATTCAAAGTAAAATGAAACGTTTCATACACAAGATGAAAATTTTCCTTGATAAACAACCCTCGAACACAGCTTCGATGTCGAGAAAACTTATGCTGCAATACACGAACGTATTCAAAGAGAAACCCGCTTTAGGTCTTGGATCAAGAATTACCGAAGCGGTTTTGAAACCGGAATTTTCTCCGACGATAAGAAAAAGCCACTTTTTACAATCACTTTTCATCCCGAATCCGAATAACAAGTTTATCCAACCTCACAATTATTTCAGCACAACCAACGTGTACAAATCAAAACATTTTCTCGATTTCCCTTCGAACCCCATTCGCACTTTAAGATTTCCTTTGATGAATTTTCCGAATCAAAGGGTGTTTTTAACGAACAGTACGCTAGAAAGAAACAATAACTCGGGATTGTTGAGATCGTTTCGTTTGGGATCGAGCAACGAATCGATGATGAAAACCCGTTTCAGCCAGATGTGCTCTCATCAGCCGGTTTCTTCGCCACCAACACACCGATCTCAACGATTACTTATGGGCAAATTATTACCGTTTAAGAACAAAACGAAAAACGAGTTGGATTTGAAATGTTTTAAACCGAAATTACCCCGATTTGACTCCAAAAACCAGGTGAATTTCGATTTTTTCAACGAAAAATTCTATTTATTTGGACGAAATTAACGGAAATACGAAATTGAGTGCATTTTGAGGTTATTTTTCGGTGGGGTTGTGTTAATAGGTGAGGGTTTTAAGGAGGATGAAATTTTTTCGGTGGGGAACGATTTAATTTTGTTACTAATCTTTTAAACTGCATCTTTTAACCGCCCCCGTTGAAAAACGATTTCTCAAACGGTTGTTTTGCTCTATTCCGTGTACTCTACTTCGTTCTTTTTGTCTTGTTGTAATGTGGAAAATCGATAACGCGTCTACTTTTGAATATTTTTGGGTTACGATTAAATTAAAAGTTAATTATTGAATAAACCAGTTTATTATTATGAGTTGTCGCTGTCAATTTGACATATAAAAATAATACCAACTTAATTTACTTTTATTTTTTTTTAGATAGTTAAACTTATTTAATAAATTAAATGCAATTTTATTAAAATATCATTAGGATTTCTTGGATTATAACAATTCTTTTATTTATTTGTTATTTATATCAATATAAAAATATATTGATTCATCTTTAAAAAAAAAACGTATTTCATTATTAACAATTTTAATGTAAATTTATTAATAATTAATAATTATTAATTCATGGGCTGTCACTGTCAAATTGAAATTTAAAATTAATACCAACCTAGTTTTTTTTTATTTTTTTAAGATAATTTAACTTATTTAATAAAATAAATGCAATTTTATTAAAAAATTATTGATATTTCTTGGATTATATAGATACTAATTCTTCTTTTTATTTATTAAACGTTCTCTTTGTTTTGCTCTATTCCATGTACTCCACTTGGTTCTTTTTGGCACCGTTTTATCGTGAAAAATCGATAACGCATCTACTTTTGAATATTTTTGGGTTACGATTAAATGAAAAGTTAATTTTAATGTAAAAAAATTATTAAATAAAATCAGTTGTGAGTTGCCACTGACAATTTGAAATTTAAATGTAATACCAACCTAAATTATTTTTTATAATTATGAATAATGAATTAATGTAAAATGAATAATTTTTGGACACTCAATAAAGACGTTGTGAGTGGAAAATGGTGAAAATGGGACGACGTGCACCAGGAATTTAGCCAGTAAGCTTGCGCGAACTCGTTACATTCGGTTCTCCGGGGGTAGTTACCCCTTCAGTTTTCACGAAAACGCGTTCAAAGCCGCTCGGTTTCATCAAAATTTTATTACTCACGTGAGTTTATCAAAGAAATTAAAACTGGTGTCTTAAAATTAAAGTGAAACTACATCAATTACATTTTGGTTTGGATAAATTATCTGTATTAATTTAATTTTAACCCGTTGAAAAAATTGGGGATTTTCACACTTGGCCGATTACATTTTAAAGCTTTTAAAATATCAAATTTATTTCCGCACGAATTGAAACGTTTAAATGAACGTTTTTTTAAATATTTAAATTTTTAAAAACTTTTTACTCCAGTTGAGTCCCCCAGCTGGGAAATTCCCAAAGGTTCTCGGATTCTGTCTTGATAATAATAATCGATTGTCGCGAAACCTCGACGAAACGTTTCATTTTTAATGATCCGGATCATTTTCAGGAGGCTAAATGTAAGCTGCATCTCATTACGAGGAAAATCTAAGAAAACGTTTTTTTTGTGATCTTTAAACATTATTTCCTCGAAAAGAAATTGCGATATCACAAAATGCTTTATACCATCAAAATTGGCGTTAAATTCTGTGTAAACTCACCGAGTTTCATTTCTTTGGTTATAAATATAACCGAAATATTAATTTTTGAAATTATCCTTACCAAAAAAGGATTCCTGAAGATAAACAATTTTTATCTCCGAAACTAATTGAGATATCAAAAAATGGGTTGCAGCATTAAATTTGTTATTAATTAGTTAACAAATTCTCCATGTTTTGTTTCTTTAATTTTATTTATTAATTTGATATGAATTTTTCAACCCAACCTTAATAAAATGCATTTTTAAATGTGGTGAGTTTTTAATGATAAGTTCAAGAATTCTTTTCTCATAAACTAATTGGAATATTAAAAAATGGATTTCACCATTAAAATTGTCGTTCAATTCTAAATAAAGTCACCGAGTTTCGCTTCTTCGATTCTAAATGCAAAGGAGATATTAATTTTTGAACTTAACCCTAAAAAACGGATTTTTCTACATGGTAAATTGTTAATGTTATCTTTAAGAATTTTTTTCTCCTAAACTAATTGAGATATCAAAAAACGGTTTGAAGCATTAAAATCATCATTCAATTTTAAATGAGTCCACAAAATTTCGTTTCTTCGATTCAAAATGCAAAGAAGATATTAAATTTTGAGCACAACCGCACTAAAATGTCAAATTTGTTGATAAAATTTTTATTGGATTAATTAAAGAAAATGCAAATTGCCTAAATTGGAATTGTTTTCGGGACGTCGTCGTCGACTCTTGACACGGTTTTCGTTTTCAAGTACGGCCCGCTCCCTCTCTCTCTAATTAATTCCGGCGAAGCCTGGACTTGGCATAATATCTTCCTGCATTATTTATCATCATCCGGGACCTAGGTTTCTGAAAATTAATTAATCTCGTCAAAAAAGTTCCTCCCCGATTAAGAATTGGTTTAATTAGAGAAAATTCCTTTAATTTTTTTTTAGAGAGTTGATTTTTAAAAATGTGTGTTTATTTCAAGACGAAAACTGTTTAAAATCGGTTAAAATTTATTAAAATAAACAATTTTAAAGAATTAGTTAATATGGCTTTTGCGGCTGCTCGAATGATTCTGAAAGACAAACGGAGGAAATCGTCGAAAGAAGAGTTTCCTCCGAGAAATCGAAGCAAGGTAAAAATTTATTAATAAAGAAATAAAAAAATTAACGGTAGAATAGAATTATTGAAGCGGACGTTTTTTGCTGTTAATTTGTGTCAGCCTTTAAATGATGTATCGCATCGGGCACCGGAAATCAATAGTTTAGTGGAGAGATGTAGAGCGGATTTTAGCAAACCTACTCTATATTCCTCCTCATGTTGACTTTCTCACCTTTAGCCGGCACAAATCGATTCACTCCACAACCAGACCAAACAGAAACTACAACCACCATCTCAATACATTGCATGAATTTTCATGATAAACGCGAAAACTGTTATTTTTTTTGTTATATTTTGTTCGCAGGCACGAAGTGGAAGTGCAAGTAGCTATAGGAGTCTCAGTCAGGTAACGAATTGTTTGGAAACGAGATCTTGGTTAACAATTTTTGATAAAAATTAATTTTCTTAGCGTAGATTTTAATTAGGGTTTAAAAATTAAAATTAACTTAAATATATTCTTATTTTAGTTTTGCACGATTTAGCATGCAAAAAAAAATCGTTTTTACATTTTAATTTATTTTATTAACAACCAAAACAAACCTTACAATGATACATTAAAAAAACCTTATATTTTATGCATGTTCTTAAATACTTATTATTAATCACCTGTCATCATCGCCATGAATTCTACAAACATAACAATTGAATTAATTAAAATTATTTATTAATAAATAAATATATTATCACCATCAAAATCGACGGTTCCTGAGGAATCCGCATCGATTTCCGCAATCATTTCGTTCAATTGATCGCCGGTTAACTGGTCGTCTAATGCGGCTAAAATTTCTCTTAAGCTAGATGTGGGGATATAACCGTTTCCTTCTTTGTCGTAAAGCCTAAAGGCTTCTTTTAGTTCTTTTTGGAGAGCCTCGTCGTCTTCGCTTTCCAGAAAATGGCTCGCAACGCGGCAGAAAGAGTCGAAATTTAAAACACCAGAACCTAAAAAATTGATTAAATTTAAGAATTTTTTTCTCCTGAACTAATTGAGATATCAAAAAGTAGTTTGAAGCATTAAAATCGTTATTCAATTCTAAAAATACCCACAAAATTTCATTTCTTCAATTTCAAATACAAAGGAGATATCAATTTTTGAACTCAACCCCAACAATTGATTTTTTATAATTAAAAATTTTTTGATGAAACTTTTTTGTTATTAACTTTTAATTCCATTATCTTGCAAGTGTTGATTCAGAGTAATTATGGATCGTGGAAAAACGGGGTCGCAAACACACACTTTCAGGATAATTGATAGAGAGAGAGCGGATGGAGCGTTGCGTGACTTTTAACGACACGCCAACACGAAGAAGAACTTTCCGAAGGCTACCACTCTAATTACTAATCACTTTGTGTAATTCCACATTTTTACCTTGGCGATCTTCGTTCTCCAACAACGCCTCCAATTCCTGATCGTTAAAGGAGTGCCCCAAAGTGTTCAAAATCATCCTAACTTTCTCCTTTTCAATGCTCCCCTTTTTGCTGGTATCGAACATATTGAAGGCTTTTTGCAGCACTAAAATTTAATGATTAATAAACCAAATTAGTTCAAAATGATTAAGGGCTTACTTATTATTTGTTCTTTATCTAAGACTATTTCAGGCTAAAATGAGAATTGTTTTAAAAATTGGTAGTTATTAAAATTGTTTAAAATTACCATTTTGATTCTTTTTTGTTGAACGTTTTAACTCGGACTAAATTAAACTGAAACGGAAGACGTTGAAGTTCCAGATTTTATAACATACTCAAGACTTCAGGCGGTTGCGCCCCCTAAATTTAGAACCGGCTCAAAGCGGCTGCAGATGCGCCTCACAATCAACTGTAAGATTCTTTACTTAAGAATATTTACCTTTTCTTAAAATTAATTAAAAAAGTTAACTCCCACACAATTCGTGTTTTTATGAAATAATCCACAACCTAAAACAAACAAAAAAATTACTTTTTAACTTTGATTGAATGAGGAGGAAGTCGAAACTAAAATTGAGAGGAGCTAAAAATAGGTTAAAAACGGGTTATGTTACCGCCAGAATTATTATAGTTCGAGTTTTACGAAGAACGAAAACAATGAGGCCGCTTTATTTATAAACCGCGCATTTTACACTCATAAAAGGTGCCAAACAACACTAAACACACCAATTAATCATTTACTACTACGGTTTTGGAAAGGAAACGATAAAAACAAATAATATTTACTTGAAACCGAATACTTCTAAATTCGGAAGAGTTATTATTAAATGAGTGTTTATGATGAATTTTGGTTTTAGGCTCGTAATAAGCCGGCCGACGGAAGTGTCGGGCAAAAGAATTTGGGAGGACCCAGGACTCCGACGCACGGCGCCAACAAGCAAAATAAAAATCATGGGAAATCGTTGCAAAAGCTGCCCCAAGCGCAACAAAAGGGGCAACCGATTAAACAAGCCCCCGCTAAAGCCGCCGTCACCGCCGCCGTTGCCACCGTTCCGATCAAGAACAACAAAAAATCGAAAAAGGGGAAGCACAATCAACACGATCTCATCGTTACGATTAATTTGGTAAGAAAAAATTAATTTTTGAATGAACGTCACTTTGTCAAATAAATTTTTTTGTCAATTTAAATTTATCGACATAACCTAACTTTTTTTAAATCAATTTTTAAATGTAAATTAGTATTTTAAATACAAATTAGATTAATTTTGAAATATGTTGTTTTTTACTGCGGAAATTTAAGATTTTAAAATCGTGGAAAATCAAAGTTTGTGGAAAATTTCCTTTGATTTCATTGTCACAATTAATTTGGCAGTCAACTCACCCCATCTAACGTCACTTGAACGAGAATTAAATATTTTTGACAGGTGACTTGTCAATTTAAATTTATCCACATAACCTAACTTTTTTTAAATTAATTTCAAATGTAAATTAGTATTTTAAATACACATTAGGTTAATTTTGAGATATGTTGTTGTTTGTTAATGCGGAAATTTAAGATTTGAAAATCGTGAAAATTAAAGTTTGTGGAAAATTTCCTTCATCATATACAGCGTTGATGTTGGTTCTTTACCACCTGAACTTAGCATTTATTTAACGTCCTAGAAAAAATCAAAATGCACTCTGCTATACTTAGGTTGAAATACTGCTTATAAGACTGGATATTGCTGACAGAAAACTTGATATGCTACAAAAAGAACAGATATTGTTAATCACCACTGGTAGTATGTTTGATACTGTTTGTAGAAGACAGATACTGTTTAGAAGACTAGATATTACTGACAGAAGACTTGGTATACTACAAAAAGACTAGATATTGCTGCCAGAAGGCTTGATATGCTCCGAAAATACCAAATATTGCTAATAAAAGACTAATCACTACTGGCAGAAAGCTTGATACTGTGTGCAAAAGACCAAAAACTGTTGGCAGCAATGTAAAATATATTACCACAAGACTAAATGTTATTAGTTGAGGTAAATACACTGTTAATAACAGACTTAATGTTGATTATAGAAGTCCAAATACTACATGGAGAGTTAAATTCGAGATTAAAAACGATTCCAAATAAAATTCGTTGTTAAAATGAAAGTTAATTAAGAAATTTTTGAACTTTTACGTGATAAAATAAATAAATTCAATGAGGTCGAAAATCTATTTAAAATCGTCGGGTAAACGACGCACACACACGATGAAATCTCGGGCAGACGCTTTCGTTTTGATTCTTCGCACTTGCCAAGAATCAAACAACACACAACACCAACAGTTTGCGTGTTACAGCGGTTTATATCTACTTTCTGGCATAAACAGCGCGTTTTCGGATTGAATAACAAGTGTCTTTTCGATGTAATTACTTTCGTTTTAATTAAACATTTTTGAATCAAAATAAATAAGGAAGAAATCAAAATGGATAGAAGGCAAGTTGATGGAAAATACGGGAAAGAATATGATCGTTTAATGAGGTTAACGAGTAATAGTGAAGTTATACAGCAGTCAGTAGGTAAACTGTGGAGTTTTTTTTTCTTATTAATTTATAATCGTTCTTTTCTATTTATAATAACACCTTGAGCTAAAATGAATAACTTCATAAAATAAAAATAGAAAATTCTTTGAGGAATCGTTTTATGGTTTTATTATTTTTTTTTTTGACGTTTTCGTTGAAAACGGACGACATCGCGTCGCCAACCCAAAAAAATTAAAAAAAAAAACATCCCCATTCGAAGATGCACCTAAGATGTACTGCTATCGTAGCCTTTTCCTGGAGTTCTCCCGTGCATTTGAGAATGTTCCAAATTGGCAAATTGCCAAAAACCGAGTCTGTAAAAACGTCCCACACCTAACAACGTTTTATTCACATCAAAGCCGGAACATCCTCAATTATTCTTTTTATTTTTCAGTCCGAGTATGGTTTATCCGAAGACCAAGTTGCAGGTAATCATTCTTTTTTAACTACATAAATAAAATTGTTTTAAAAATAACGTTTTAGAATTCAAAGAAGCTTTTATGTTGTTCGATAAAGACGAAGATGGCACAATCACCATGGCCGAGTTAGGCGTTGTGATGAGATCCCTCGGTCAAAGACCAACCGGTAAATAAATAAAAACCATACAAGTGCGAAGGCTTTCACGGCCGGTGTTAATTAAACTAAAACTAGAACTAACACTAGACCTAGAACTATAAACTTTCGGGATCAGCTGTGCGCCTTTTGAAAAAATATTTGACGTTTCGGATGCCATGTTGTAAAATTCTTCAAAAACAAGTTCGAAGTGTCAAACGTCAAATATTTTTTCAAACGGCGCACGGCTTAACCCGAAAGTTTCTAGTTCTAGGTCTAGTGTTAGTTGTAGTTTTAGTAAAATAAAAACCAAATAACTTTATGATGAACTTTATGTTTGTAGAAACGGAACTTCGTGACATGGTAAACGAAGTCGATCAAGATGGGAACGGCACGATTGAATTCAACGAATTCCTTCAAATGATGTCGAAAAAGATGAAAGATGCCGATGGAGAAGAAGAACTCCGCGAGGCTTTTCGCGTTTTCGACAAAAACAACGATGGGTTAATATCTTCGAATGAATTGAGACACGTTATGACTAGTTTGGGGGAACGCTTGTCGGAGGAGGAAGTTGAAGATATGATTAAGGAGGCCGATATCGACGGAGATGGGCAAGTTAATTACGAAGGTGATTTTAAACAATTAAGTTTATTTATTTATTAACTAATTTATTCTTCGTAGAATTTGTTACTATTTTAACAGCTAAAAATTAGTTGGTTTGAAGAAAATAATGGAAAATAAATTATATGTGTAATAAAAATGTATTCCGCAGCACATCGCTTAAACAATTATAAATATATAAAAGAAGTTCGATTCATTATAAATATTACCAAATAAGTTATTGAATTTACGTAAACCGAGTTGAATTTATTATAGCTTAAGCAAATACAGGGTTTGTATACAACACAAAAAATAAAGTTGCGAAGAGTTTCGTTTGGAAATGATTAAGCGGAATTGGATCGGAAAAAAAAACAGGGTATAAATCAAAAATTGAACCAAATTAACGAAGAAATTCCAAAGAGACTCCTCGTTTTTTTTAGCTAATTAATAAAAAAAATTAAATTAGATAATTCATTGGACGTTCAAGCAATCTCAATCAAATCTAAAAAAAAATAATCCCCAATTTAGGCGAATATCCAAAGACAATAATTTTAAGTTAATATAAAAAATCAAATTAATTTATCTTTGGTCTTCCATCGATTTTCGTATAACAATCAATTGCGATTATTATTTATAATTTTAATTTTTCTTCAAACGTCAAAAAAGTTATGCAACCAAATATACAGTTTTTGACGTTTAAACGTCCAATTATTTAAATAATTTTTTTAATGTTTGAAGAAAAATAAAAATATCACCGCGATCAATGTTTAGAAAAAAATATATACATAAAATTATTAAAAAAAAAAGTAATAGCCGATATAAATAAATATTAATTATACTGGAAAAGATAAACCAATAAAAAAATGTTATTGGGGCTCTAAAAATCATTTATAAATTAATAATTAATTTATTATTGACTTGTTATCGTCCAAAATATACTTGTAATTGTATATTTGAAGTGGTTTTACTCACCCAAAACTTTTTATTTTAATACAAAAGGATTTTTTATTTATTTTTTGTTGCAATACAAATGAATCCAATCAAAACCCGAATCAGTAGCAAGTGTCAAGTACCATTTCTATAATGTTTCGATTAGTTAATTACGACATGCACATATTGATATCAGATAAGCAAACCTATATAAAGAGGTCAATGGAGATATTTTAAGTGAAAAAGGTATTTTAATTGAAAATAAAATGTGGTGGGTTTTTATTTTATTGAGTTTAATCAGTCTCGGAGATGCAGGTAGATTTTTTTTTTAATTAATTTCTTTATTAAATCTAAACTCCATTTTTTTGGGCAACTTATCGTTTAATAATTAATTCCATCCCTTTAATAAAACAACTTTTAGTGGATCATCCATCATAAATCTCTATAAAATAAATCATTATATGAATCAAATTGGATAAAATAAAGTAATAATTTGTAAAAATTAAAAACTTACTCTAAAAGAATCTTGAATCTGTCATATTGACAAGTTGTAACCAAAACTAATTCGCATATAAACCGATAGGGGGCTAATAAAATTATTTTAATTTAATTTTAATATTGTTAAAATAATTATTTAATTCTGAATCGATCTATATTAAGATTAAAATTGTTAAAATTAATAAATGAGTGATTTTAAAAAACAAATTTTGATGTTTTTTTAATAAAAATTAAAACAGTTTTGGTTGCCATCTATCGTCATAAATACGAATTATTTTTGTTTGACATTTCTCAATATTTTTGCTAACAAATTATTATACATATAAATAACGCTAAATTATTTTTTGTTTAAGTGCGTTATGCATTACGTTTATTGTGGCAATAAACGAGATTATAAATGTCTTGTTGCAATGTTAGAGACAGAACAGATGGAAAAACAACTTCAAATTGTTTAAAGAGCACATTGAGACTATTTGATAAATAAAAACATTAGTAACTGAATGTACGTGCGAAAAAGCAAATCAGAATGAATTAACGAGTGATTTATCTCCGAATTTTGTAATTAATTGATTACATTGTTTATTTATCCAAGTGAAATTAGAATTACTCCATGTTTTAAGTATTTAAGCAAGTCAATCGAATTTGTCAACTTCTAAAAGGGATTCTTTATCATTTCGATGTTTAATAATTAGATACATACATAGCAGAGTTGGGTTTTGAGTTCTCCTTCAACATTTTTATTGAAAACCCAAGTTTACATTGAGCATATATGACAGGTTCCTCAAAGGCCAACCAATATTTCACAATTTAAAGCCGAGGTCGCTTGTGGCCAAGGCCCTGTTTCTTTAAAGTAGAAACATTAACCATTGGAAAATCAATATTCTACAGTCTAAGGCCGAGGTCGCTTGCGGTCGAGGCATAATAATATTGACATTTATGCTAACACATCAACTGTTGGAAACTCAAAATGGATGACTTTTTGTTCCAAATCTTCGCCATTTTACTTCGCTTAATCCAGTCATTTCTATACCTAGGCGATGTATCTCTCTATATCTACCAATAGTTAGTGTAGTAGGGCTTCTTTTCGGTTTCTAAATCGCAATATAGAAACACTCAAGCGCTCTTCCACTACTTAGTTTTGGTCCCTATATCTGGGATCCATTCCCTGATCCGTCATCTGGGGAGGCGACTGGTAAGGGACTAGAAACCCCCTCGGGAAATTTTTATATTCAAGACTCAATTGCCTAACATTTTTTGCCGATGTTGCAAATTCTAAAGTTGTAACGTGAAGTTGAGTGTCTTATGTTCGTAGCAAACCCATCTCAATTTGTATTGATATATAGCTAAGTTTTCTTATTCAGTTGCCTAAAAAAAATAAAAAAAAGAATACATATTATTAAACGTATAAAAAAAATAATGTTAATAATAAAAAAGGTGATATGCATCGAAGAAGAAATATTAAACCAACCACAAAAATCAACGAAGAAGAATTAACTTCAGAGTATTGGAAAAATCAAGCGCAAAGTTTCCTTGATATGAAATACAGCACAAAAATTAATACGAGTAAGATAATAATAAAATTCTTTTTAGTTAAATTATTTATATATTTAATTTAAGATCACGCAAAGAACATAATCTTCTTTTTGGGGGACGGAATGTCCATCCCAACGTTAAAAGCGGCGCGAATCTATTACGGCCAACAAATATTAAAAGCCGAAAAGGAAGAGGCGCCTCTATATTTCGAACAATTCCCATATTCGGGATTATCGAGGACTTATTGCATTAACACCCAAGTCCCCGATTCAGCCTGCACAGCAACCGCATATCTTTGCGGAGTTAAAGCCAATTACGACACGGCCGGAGTTACAGGCTCCGTTGATTTAGGAAATTGCACGGCGAGTTTAGACGAAAAGAATCGCATCGATTCAATCGCAAGATGGTTCCAATTGGATGGCAAAAAAAGTGGGTTAGTTACAACGGCGAGGGTTACTCATGCAACACCTTCAGGTAAATATAAATTAAATAAGGTCCATTACTACCATCTTTTAGTTAAATTTATCTTATAGATAAACCCATCTACTAGCCAATCAGAGCGCGTAAAATAGCCGTTACCGTGGTAATAATCCCTTAGATAGCTTAACCAGAAGATGGTAGTAACGAGCCTAAATTGATTTTATTAAAATCAAAATATTTTTTTTGTTATATTAGCGATTTATGCCCACACCGCGCATCGAAATTGGGAATGCGACGTTCCCGAATACATCGAAGAAACCGAACCGATGCCTGAAGATTGCCAAGACATAGCGGTCCAATTAATTCAATCCGAAACCGGTAAAAATTTAAACGTAATTATGGGGGGTGGGAGACAAATGTTTTTCCCCGAAACCGAAACAGGCCCTGAAGACGACGCAGGAAAACGAAAAGACGGCAAAAATTTAATTAACGAATGGTTAGAACAAAAAGAAAAAGATGGTTTTAACGAAACGTCAAAATATATTTGGAACAAATCCGAATTAAAATCGTTACCCGATGATACCGATTACGTTTTGGGGTTATTTGAAAGCTCCCACTGCGCGTATCATTTAGACGCAAACGATGAGGATCCTTCGTTGGAAGAAATGACGGAAGCTGCAATTAACATTTTAAAAAAAGACGATAAAGGTTTCTTTTTGTTGGTGGAAGGTGGCAGAATCGATCACGCCCATCATAATAATTTAGCGAGGAAAGCGCTAGATGAAACCGTCGAATTCGCCAAAGCGATTCAAAAAGCGAAAGAAATAACCGACGAAGAAGATACTTTGATTGTAGTAACCGCGGATCACGCCCATGTTTTCACCGTTAACGGGTACCCATCGCGAGGAAACAACATTTTTGGAATTGCTGATACAGCCGATGATAATAAGGGATATACAACTTTGAGTTATGCGAATGGGCCGGGTTATAGGGGTTACGGCGAAGATGGGCGACCGGAATACACAGAGGAAGAATTAAGTATTAATTAATACTAATTAATTAATTTTAAGTTAATCGAATTTGTTTTAGGTGGAAAGGACGCGCCTTTTCCTGCGATGGTTCCTTTAGATTCTGAGACTCATGGAGGTGATGATGTCGCAATTTTTGCTACAGGCCCTTGGGCGCATCTTTTTACGGGCTCAGTTGAACAAAATTATATTCCCCACGCGATGGCTTTCGCAGCTTGTGTTGGAGATGGTGACACAATGTGTTTGTAAGTTAAATTTAATTAAAATTGTATCTAATCTCAAATGTAAAGATTGCAATTTTTATCGTAATCAATTAAATCAAATGTAATATTTATTTTTTTTAATTTTCAGACGTGGATCTGGTAGTCACCATTCAGCGTTATCTCTAAGTATCTATGCGCTTTTAACAATACTTTATTACTTGTATTGCAAATGATTGTGATTTTAAATAAAAAATAATTTATGAATTACGCATTATTTTATTTAAACATTTACAAAGTTAAAAAGAGAAATAAAATAATAAAAAAATAACTATAAAGGTATTTAAGTTGATTTGAAAAAGAAGGTTAAACCACGTCGGGAATTTATTACACCATAAGATAAGAACGTTTAGCACCTTGAGATACCACCACAAAAAAATAATAAAAACTTAACTCGATCTATTAATTTAGCGATTCTTACAAGGAAAAATGAATCATTTTAACTCTAATTTAAAGTTAAAACAAAAAAATTATCGCGTTTCGAATTATTGAAATAAGCGCGATGCCAAGTTTAAGTAGTAGTCTCGGAATTGAATTAAAAAAAATGTTGTTGTGGTGATAGTTAGACCCGCGAAAGAAAGAGAAACCAAAGTGGGGAAACCAATTCGATTATACATAAGTATAGCCGTGGTTGTGTGGTTTGGTTTGAGTCGTTCGCGTTTTCGAGTTAGTTTCGCTAAACGATGGTTGTTAACGACTTATTCGTTTTTCTCGCCTTTTTCGTCACTTTGGTTTTTTCGAGACCAGATTTTACAGCTCACGATTGTAAGTTTTACATTTAAGAATTTGGTATGAAAGAGGTTTGTTGGTTAATTTTAGATATTTTTTTTGGCACCGTTTTAATGACACACATTTTCGAGTTGACAATAAAATAAAACTTACTTTATATTCTTCGCTTCAACAATTTCTTTATATAATCGAAATTTATATAGAATAATTCAAATTTTTAATTTAAATCTTAACAAATTTATATCGGAATTTTTTATTTTTGATATTTCATTTTCGTCACTTAAATTAGTGGTTGCTTAGCAACGGCAATCTGGTAACTTAAATTTTTTTTTTAATAAAAATAACCAAAAAAAATGTTTTTGATACAAATTATTTAATTTATTGTTATTAAATTATTTATCGTTACTATTTTTCTTTTTTCCAATATAATATATACAAGTTTCTTGGTACAAAACTTACCTTGAATTTCTCACTCTAACATTTTCTTGTAATAACAACATACATAAATATTCGGAGTTTCGTATAAAATCAAAGTATTTATACGATAAAATATTTGTCAAATTCCAATATTTAATTTAAAACTTTAATCTTCATAAATTTATATCGAAATTTTTGTTGTTTTGACGTTTACTCTTTGTCACCATGAAGTGGTTACTTAGCAACGTGAACGGCAATTCGGCAACTTAAAATTTTTACTCATTAAATGTAACTAAAAAAATTAATTGTCATAATTTATAAAAATTAAAAAAATATATTTTGCTTTTTAAATTAAATGGCACTCATCATCAAAGCCGAGGTCGCTTGCGGCCGAGGCGTAATGTTGACATTAATGTTAACACATCAATCATTGCGGAACCAATGTTTTACAATTTAAGGCCGAAGTCGCTTGCGGCCGAGGCCCTGTAACTTTAAAATAGAAACATTAATCTTTGAGGAACCAATATTCCACATTCTAAGGACGAGGTCGTTTGCGACCGATGCATAATAATATTGACACCAACACATCAACCATTGGGAAACGTATATTCTATAAAATAATTTCAGAGTTGAAAGTATTGGTGGCTTCACGTTAATATTTGATGTGACTCCTCCCAATAAAATTTGTATACCTCGATCATAATGCACATGCATAAAGTGCCGAGGTCACTTGCGAGCGAGGCACAGCAAATTTAAGTTTGTAGTCAAATCTTTCAATCTGAGCCACTATCAAAGCCGAGGTTGCTTGCGGTCGAGACAACAAAAATTCAGAGCTGTTAACATTGTGATTAAAGTATTTCATTTGCAAGCAACCTCGACACTCTACTCATACATATAATGGCTAAGGTATACATATCACTTTTTTTAGAGGCCACATTTAAAATCAATACTACAATCTACTCTGAAGTTGCGGAGCCTCAACCGCAAACGACCTCAGATTGTGAATTACCGATTTTCCAACAGTTTGAATGAGTTAGTAAATTAATTTTTTTAAAACCGATAGATATAGATTATATACTTATATAATCATCCTGTATATATTTTTAAATAAAATAAATTATGCTAATTATAACGAAGGTAAATCCCCAGATACATAAATTGCGGTAAACCGTGCTTGGCAAATTAAAATTTTAGATACAAACATATTCAATGTTAGCCGCAAGGTTCTTTTTTTCTGGGAATTACTTCGTATTTGTTGAACTCGGAAGAGGTCAAGCGGTCGAAAAGAAACGTTACAAGAAAGTAAAACAACTTTCTCTCATTCTTTCCAAATGACTCAATACAAAAAATACATTATGATGATACAAAAACATCACATAACATGTTTTTGCGGTTTCTTTAATATTATTTTTTTTTATAATTTAGTCACGATACCTTTGTTTTAAAAAAATAAAGCGTTAAAATTAATTTGCTTTTGCTGTATTTTTTTATAACCGACCAACTCGTTATGATAATACAACAACATTTCGCATCCATAACAAACTTAATGCAAATAGTTTTTAGCTCTTTTAGGCTAAGTTAATTGTTGATGACGTGCTCACATAAATAAATATATAGGCATACTCGTATGAAAGCCATAATTTTCTAACAATAAAAATGTTTACGTAATAACTCGATGTTTTTATAGATAACCCGTCTAAACATCTTCACGTGCATAAATTAAGTATTCGATCGGTGGAAAAATCCATCAACGAAGAGGATACAATCGATTATTGGAGGGCACAAGCACAAAAAACGCTTCGACGAAAATTAATCGAGAAACCAAATAGAAGTTGGGTAAAATTTTTTTTTAAAATGAAATTATTTAATACTTTGATTTTAGATCGAGCTAAAAATGTGATTTTATTCCTCGGAGATGGGATGTCAATCCCCACATTAAAAGCGGCGAGAATTTATATGGGGCAACTTCAAAATAAATCGGGCGAAAACAGTCAATTGGCTTTCGAAAAATTCCCTCACACCGCTTTATCAAAAACTTATTGCGTCGACTCGCAAGTCCCAGACTCGGCCTGCACATCAACGGCTTACGTAACGGGGGTTAAAGCGAACGAGGGAACTTTAGGAGTAACCGCCGCCGTTCAACTCAACGATTGCGAGGGAAGTTTAAAGAAGGAAAATCGCCCAACATCAATCGCTTATTGGTCACAATTAAAAGGAAAAAGAACCGGGTTTGTCACCACAACAAGAGTTACTCACGCATCACCCGCAGGTTTATACTCGCATTCGGCCAACCGCGATTGGGAATCCGACGCGTACGAAACCCCCTCAGAATGTAAAGACATCGCCTATCAATTAATAAACGAAGAAATAGGCAAAAATTTTAACGTAATTATGGGAGGTGGCCGAAGAGAAATGATCCCGGAAGACTCAATCGACGAAGAATTCACCAACGGAACAAGAAAAGATGGAAAAAACCTAATCAATCAATGGATTACAGATAAATCGAACGAAAACGCTAAATACGTTTGGAATCGGACCTCTTTATTACAATTAGAAGAATCCCCCGATTACCTTTTAGGACTCTTCGAGGGAAGTCACTGTAAATATCACTTAGACGCCGACGAAGAAGACCCATCCTTATCAGAAATGACCGAAGCCGCAATTAAAGTCTTATCGAAGAAGCGAAACCAACAAGGTTTCTTTTTATTCGTTGAGGGCGGAAGGATCGATCACGCCCATCACGATAGTTTGGCAAAGAAAGCTTTAGACGAAACCGTCGAATTTTCAAAGGCGATCGATAAAGCTTTAGAAATGACGGACGAAAAGGAAACTTTGATTGTTGTTACTTCAGATCACGCGCATGTTATGACCGTTTCTGGGTATGCACGGAGAGGAAACGATATTTTTGGTGATGCTGGAGTGGGCGATGATGGTATTAATTATAGCACTTTATCTTATGCGAATGGACCAGGATACAGAAAACCTAAAAATAATACACGATTTGATCATTCTAAAGATGATAAACGTAAGTTTTTTTAAATTTAATCACTTACCCCATCAATATGTCATCAATAATAACATAACCTAAAAATTAAATTTTATTGTTAAAATCTTGAAATGATTTAACTAAAAATCATTACTTACGGTTTTATCTTTATTTATAATGTAATATTGAGTAATAAAACTTATTTATTAAGTTAAATTAACCCAAAATATTTCAAACCAAACTGGAACATTTTGACAGTCACAACAATAACATAACCTCATCAAATACATTTTGGGCAAGGTTTATAGAACGTGAAGAGAAAATGTTCTATAGACCTTGCATTTTGGGTTATAATCTGGAAATAAAAGAAATTTATTAATTAAATCTTAATAAAACAAATTGAAACGTTTAATAAGTAATAATTGATAATAATAAACTTATTTATTAAGTTAAATTAACTAAAATAATTCAAACGAAACAACAACATAACCTCAAATAGAATTTTACAAATTTGAAATATTTTAACTAATAACATTTACATACCATTTTAAAACAATTTTATCCCATTTATAATATAATATTGACTAATAAAACTTATTTATTACGTTAAATCAATTCAAACGAAACCCCAATGTTTTGACATATCACAACAATAACATAACCTCAAACATAACCCTACTTTACAGTTTTTATAAATAAAAATTTATTAATGAAATAATTTTAATTTTAGATGATAAAGATTATTTATTCCCAACGATGGTCCCTTTAGAATTTGAAACTCATGGTGGTGATGATGTAGCTATTTTTGCAAACGGCCCTTGGGCTCATCTTTTTAACGGTGTTATCGAGCAGAATGTGATTCCTCACATTTTAGGATACGCTTCGTGCGTGGGTAATGGTATTACTGTATGTGATGATAAACACAATTAAGATAATAAAAAAAATCGTAATTATTAATTTATTTATTATTTCTTTTCGTTAAATAAATATATTTATTGTTTAACATTCGCCCCAATGGTGGAACATTTTACTCTTATTTCGCTTTCAGTAAGTCGAACGATCAAAAAGTCAACCCTAAAAATATTTGTTTACATATTTTTTGGATTAACAGTGATTTGGTCAATATAATATATTTTTATCCGTCGCTTTTAGGTCAACTGAAACATAAAATTCGAGGTGATTACAACTTCTTTTTCATTATCTCGAAATGAATGAGTCGATAAAAAAATAGTTTGATCAAAAGAATGCTATTTAGACATTTAAAAGCTATACATTCAGCCACATATATTATTTAGTAAGCTCGTAGTTTCTTTTTTTTTAATTTTCACATTGGGAATAAGCTGCGTTATATATTTTTTGCAATTTATATGGATGGAACATATCATACAACATATACGAATAAATGTTTTTTCGTATAAAAAATGAACACGTACTTAAACTTAATCACTAAAAATCACTCTATTAATTAGAATAATAATTAATTCACATTGAACCCAGCATCGCGCCACAATATAAAGTGGGATGAAGGAATATGTTATTTTGACCAATTGACAGTTGAGGTTAGATTTGTTTGGGACGTATAAACTTTTTTTGGCTTTTTAAAATGTTTTAACAACGATATTAGACAATTTTAAAATTTACTTTATCTTCTTTTCATTAGTTTATTTAATTATTATTATTATTGTGCTCCGTTCAATAGTAGTCATGCAGAAAATAACGACACTAACGTTTTTCTTTTAATTTGTTTCAATGACACAACACCGATTAATAAATTTTTCGATCTGCATGAGAAATATTGCTTATTAATTTATTTATTTTTTTGGTTAGTTGATTGTTTCGATACTTTTTCCACGACCGCTTCTATTTGGTGATGGATTAAAAGGAAATTACTCTTCCTTAATAACCAATTTGTCTAAATCGATACTAAGATCTTCTTCTGATTTATATTCAGCCATTTTTATCTACAAAAATTAAAAAAATAAATCATTTTTTAATTTTATTTGATTTAATTAGTTAAAGCGAAAAAGCAAAAAGCTTATTTATTTGAATTAAATTTTTAATACTTAATCCATCACCAAAAAAAAAAAGGAAAAACCCCTCTTACTCTTGTATTTTAGTAACCTTCTTTAACACAATCGTAAATGTGAATGTGTAAAGTGGTGCTGTGGTCGTTGTAGTATCTTCGAAGGCAGAAGAGGTTGTTGCGGCAGTTGGAGATACGTTGGCCGTAATCACAATGGGGGGTGGTTGTGGAGAGGGATGTGGTGGTTGTAGGGGATGATGATGATGTGATTGTTGAGCCTTTTGGGGCGTTTTCGGTGGATGGGGCGCGATGCTGGCCGTTTGTTAGTTGCTCGTCGAATGTTTTCCGTCAGAAGAGACCAATTCGCTGGATCCACTGCTGCTCAGTGTTGTATTGGAGCCGTAGGGATCCAACGAACTTTGAACGGACATCGATCTGCCTTGTTGATGTCTTCTCACTCGATTGGGAGACAATTTTCCGGGGTCGACACTTGCCGGGTCTGCCTACAACACTCAGTTGTTGGATTTTGCAAATGTTTTCTATTAATTTTTTTTTATTTGGATTTTTTTATTGGAAAGTTGGTTCGCAGTCTATGGGGGTGTCTGGCACCTGTGCAGCAAAAGCGTTTGCAGGATGTGTGCAAAGGATTTGAATTTATAAAAAAGAATAAAACCCACCTGATACGCCAACGCCGTCATTATTATATGATAAGGAACCAAACCCAACGGATGAACCTCCCGCATTAAAACGTTTGCTGGAATCTTATGAAACTGAATGTATTCCAAAAAATTTCCAATCACTTCTTTTAACGGAGTATTGGGGTTGTTATCACAAAACTTCTTCCCTACAAAATCAATTGACTTTGATCTTTGTCAAAATTTGACAGACTTATTTTGAAAATGCCCCAAAAGATGGCGATAAAGAATTTTATCATTTTATTAAATAATTCAAAAATTTACTTGATTTAAACAAAAATTTCGTTATTTTCTTCTTTTTCATTAATTTAAATTAATAAAAAAAGTTAAGTTATAATTATAAAAATAAATTTAATTATAAACCAATTTCATTTCAACACCATCTTTTAACGCATTCACAAACACCCAAATAAACAACATAACCTAAAAATTAAAATCAAAAAGAAATAATTTAATTTACCCCACATTAACGCAGCTTGAAACTTTGTGAATTCATCCGCTTGGAGCTCATCCCTCGCTAAAATTAATCGTACAACATGTTGTGGCAGTAAAGTGAACGACCCAAGATTTAAAACTTCGTTTCCGTGCTCGTCAACGAACTCCAAAACTTTTTGCACCAAAGATTTCGTACATTTATACTGAATATATCGCTCGGCTGACGCTAATAACGCACAAACCGTATCGACGTTAATACAACATTGCACGAAACCAGCACAAGCTCTTCTTAATTCATCTAATCCGTAATAATCGGCAGCATTCATAACACCTATGTATATCAAATTTCCAAATTAAATGTAGAAATTAAAAAGAAACGAATTACTAACCTAAAAGAGTTCTTGGTTGTAAAGTAACGCAGCCTGTGTGAATGTACTCGATTAGTTGCCTGAAGACATCCGGTTCGAATTCTTCGATGATCAGCGTTTGATGTTGCTGTGAAGTTGGCTACAGAATTATCAAGAAGGATTCAAACGTAAAGATGTAAAAAAAAAGGAAAATAAAGATTTTTTTAAGAGTAGTGTGTGTTTTGCATGAAATCGTGCGATCAAAATAATAAAGTGAGAATTAAAAATTACCATGCAATTTTCTAAAACTTAACCTAACCTAAAAAGTATTGTCAACTAAATGTCAATGTCAAGTGAACTTTTATTTTTTTAGGTTATCATTTAAATTTTAATAATGTGTTTAAAAATTACAGTGTTTTTAGCAATATGAAACCGTGGTACGGATGTCCACATTACCATCAGCATTGTTCCTCGCAATGTTCCCATAAAAAACCTTCATATCGAGGATGTCCGGGTGGATCCACTTGTTCGGGATGTAATACCCCAAGATGTGGATGCTCGAATGATACAGAAATGACTTTATGTAGCTGTAACGATTACTTTGATGATTTCGATGATAACAACGGCGATAGAACAAGTGATAGTCTTAGTGAACAAAGCCAAAGGATTACGGAAACATCTCAAACACCATCGCAAAGCATTGCAAATCGGAGTGTAGAAACCGAAGATATCGAATCGAAAAGAAAAGAAAAAAAGAAAGTGACTTGTAGTGATATTAAACATTACTCCTCATCATCTTGTTCGATGCGTAACAATGGGGGATGTTGTAATGGCCCGTTAATGAGTGCTCTAAGGAAAAGTCCGTGCACAAAAGATACTTGTGCTCAATTTCCTTCTGATGTCTCACAAAATAAAGATCTTCAAAAATACACGTACAATTTTAAGTTATCGTCCCCATCGGAGGATGGCGAATGTGGTGGAGATGATGACGATGAAGATTTATCAGCCCGATTAGTCATTATGAAGAAAGGAAATAAATTTTCGGCTCATTTAACGATTATGGGGGAAGAAGTTGATGTTGAAAAAGATTCTAAAGACGGCGATAATAACGATGATGGTGGTGATAAAAATAAAGATGGTGATAAATATAGAGATGGTGATAAAAATAAAGATGGTAAAAATAATAAAGATCTTTCAACATATAAAACAGGTGGTGATCGTGAGGGTAAAACTGGATCCGATAGCAGTGATTCAAATATTGATGAGACAGTTTATGATCCTGTTGTTAAAGATCGAAGGCATGCTGAAGATCATCATTATAGTCACAATAAACAAATAGAAATTGAAAGAAAACAACTTGAAAAGGAAAGTGAAAAAAAATCGAGTAAAAGTTTAAGTAAACCAAAAGAATCAAAGGAATCGAAAAAATCTAAAGAATCAAAGGAATCGAAAAAATCTAAAGAATCAAAGGAATCGAAAGAAGCAAAAGAATTAAAAGAAACTAAAAAAACAGATGATACAAAAAGTGAACCTAAAACACCTTCAGAAAAAGAAAGCGCTGAAGGATCTGCATCGGAAAATGATGAAGCGGAAGAAACTAAAGGAACAAAGAGTACAAACTCTTCAATTAAAAAGGAACCCGATGTTATATTATCAGCTTGTTTCGATGAAATCGACTTTAAACAATCAACCAAATCGAACTATGGTGAAGATCGCTTAGAAAATTTAATCCAATTGTACGAAAAGAATCATACGAAACCCCAAAAAACGATAACGATGCCAATAACAATGACACCGGCTACTACATCAACAACAAAAGGAAATAATCTGTTTGGAAAGCTTTTATTTAATAAACAAGGTAATGAAAAAAATAAAAAGGATGATGATGATAACAATAACATGGGTTCGGGGCTAATTCCGATCAATTACACCGTCGATACACCGGTTATGCAATTTTCAAGGGTTGCGAGTGAAAAGAAAAGTGATGAAACTCATCCGCTTTATCCCGGGAGAAGTTTCTCTCCGCCCACGTTGAGTAGGATGCAAAGGGCTGTTTATGCGTTACCTAAGGGTCAGATGAGGAAATCTGCTGAATACCCGCAAAATAAATCAACCGTTTTGTCACATATTTTACCGGGGGAATCATCTCATGATAAATCCAAAAATAAATAAATAATTAATGTGTTATTTTATTGGTTTTAATGGAATTTGAATAAATATCTACTTATTAAGATGAATGACAAGTATGTGACAATGACAGTATTATTTTCAATGCTGCCAATAAAATTTTAAAAACTTATTTATTTATAAAAAAGGGGAAGCTATTATTAAATTTAAATTTATAATTAATAAATTTACTTGATATTTCGAGAAAGTAATAAATTATTTCTGTATTTATCAATAAATTAATTATTAATTTCAATGACAATTTTAATTTCTGCCGCCATCTATTGACAAAACAATTCATTTATAAATAAATAAATATTAATAATTAATTAAATATTTTGAATTAATTATTAATAAATTAATCTAAAAAGATTGTTGTCTTTCTAAATAAATTCACTTGACATTTCAAAAAAATTAATGACTTAATAATTAATATATATAGGTTATGGTGCATTTTAATTTTATCTAAACTAACTCATTTAATTAAGTGTTTTTAATAAGTAAATGGTGTTTTTGTTAACGTGCTCATCTACAGCAAGCAAAAAGAAAAATTAATGGAAAATTTTGTGGATTTAAATTTTGTAGGATTTAAAGGTTACCTCTTGGATCGGAGCCAGTTGTTGGGTAAAGCCCCTCTACATATTTTATTTTAACACAGCATTAGTTTTTATTTCAAGTGTTTGTCTCTGTACAACCTAATTTTAATAAATCAATTAAAAAAGAATTATTTTCTCACCTGTTGCGATGCCGATTGTAAATTTAATAAGGGCTCGGAGGATCTTTTCAAAAAAAGTCTTAATTTATTCTCTCTAGGCGGGGCTTCCTTTTTTCTTTGTGGACTAGGGGCCTAAATTAAAATTAACAAAGCGATTATTTAATTACTTTTATTTACCTCTTTTTGTTTTACTTGATATAGCATTTTATGGAACACTCTCGATCTTGCGGCTAAAACAGCTTTAACGGCACAAACTGGTTCTCGAGTATCTCCAACGAGAAAGGTAACATCACAAAGTTCCGGCATGGAAGCCAAAAACTTCATGTCTTCGGCTAATCCTGATTTATTTTCGAACGTGCTTAAATCAGGTTCAGCTTCAGCCATTGCGCTGTAAGTGTTTGTAATCAAGCTTTCAGGCATCTAAAAAATATTAATCTTGTATTAATCGCGTTTAATATTGGAATAAAAATAATTTTTTGTTGTATTGAAATGATTAAAAAGATTTGTAATCACATGTTGGTGAAAACCGCACGCGTTTTACACAATTATGAGTCAATAAGGAAAAAATTCAGTTTTATCGCTTTCATAAATTTCCCGGATTCATTTCTCAATAAATTCTTTTCATTGTAATTTGCAATAAAACTCGATCGATAAGTCACAACTTACCTGTTGAGTTGTTTTTGGATTTTTCGAAAAGATAAGGACCGAATTGAAATCGCTTTTTTCCCCAAAAAACTTTCAAGTTGATCTCTTTTAATGCTACGTCGATTGCATCTTGGAAAGTTCTTTGAATGTTTGGGAATGGAAGCGAGGCGAAAAGATTTTCATGGAAGTTGTTTCAGGAATGGTAAGGCGCACGCGTTAAAGTAATGATTATTTCGTGGGATTCGAAAACTAAAACAAAATCAATAAATTAAATAAAAATAACAACTTAAATATGTTTTAACAAAAACATTAATTAAATAAATAATAACTGATTGATATAGGCAACCGAATAAACATAAAATTAGAATGTCGGTAAAACAGAATTGGGGTAATAAAAACATTTTTAAATTATGTTTTTATTTATTAATTTTACACTCACATTCTATTCTAGATGTAGTAATTCCTATTCTTAATGTTTAAATATTTATTCTTATTTACAATGTTTTTCTACCGTTGGGTTCACTTCGTTGATATACAACGATTAATAATCTTATATTTATAAAAAATAACTTGCCTGGAACAACATTTATGTAAGTTTATAAAAGGAATGAACAATTTCTGCTTTTGCGTTCAATAACATCTTCTTTATTTCTTTACGATCCAATAAAAAATCAGACTTGTCATGTAGAGTTCTTCACAAAATATATTATTATTATTATTATATCGTCTTTTTTCACGTTTATAGGAAATACAGTCAACAGTAACTTTATCCTGCTTCTTTTTGTTTAAATATACATATTAAATATAACAGAATCGTTATCTGTAAAAATCACTAAGCCTTATTTTTTTTACTACATACTATTAAGCTCTAATAAACATCTTCTACCTTAAGATTTCTTATTTATTTAATTAATTTCTTATCCTAAACACCATTTAAAACGATTTAAACCGCTTAAATTTAATTATTAAATAGATAATATCCCTGATACGATTTATACCCTTTTGTTCAGAAGTGTTTTGTGACATGAATCAAAAAATATATCAGATTCATTTCGTTTTCAATTCAAGCTCTTTAATTAATATTTTCTTTGTGGTGTATCAATTAATTTCGTTGGATTTTTTTTTTAGGTTATGTCACTTTTAGGGGTTATTTGGATTTATCGAATGGGGTATAGTTATAGGGATTTATTAATAAATATCTACGTTTTGGCACAAAAATAACAATTCTTTACGAATATTTCTTTTTAAAGCTTCTTAACATCAAAGATTATTATTATTTATTAATTAATAATATATAAATAGTAATTTTATTTTTTGAAGTTTTTGAACTTGATTATTAAAAATTATATTTTGACATGTTTTCACATGAGTCAAATTCTAACCTCACTTATCATTATTTTTAATTTTTTTTATATTAAATAAGGACCAGCTTTAGTGTCGTGAGCCCCTTTATCATGACAAACGATATGTACAAATTTTAAGTTATTTCTTGTGAATAAATCATCAAAAATCCTTTCGACATCGATGATTTTTTTCTTTTTGCCGTTTAATTTATCATCATGTACCAAAGCATCTTTAATGCTTGGAATAATTGATCGGGTACGTTCAATGGCGTGGTCTAAATTCCACGTTTGAAAAATGATTCGCTCCTCAGGGCTTTTATATGGATTGATTGAGTGAACGGGGATGTATAAGCAACAGGGTTTATCCCAGCGGCCCTCGCAAAAAAAATTACCTTTTTCATCGCAAATGCTTTTGGTGGCCGACCGGTCGAAATAGCAACCGAAAAATTTGACTTGTTTGAGTTTCTCTTGGAGATCTTTGAGCAAGAAGCCAAGTTTTTCCGATTGCGACATCGGATTTTTAATTAACTCGTCTTTAGTGCGGTAAAAATAAGTACGTACGCGGTCCTGAGCCCTCCGAAACATGTATTCTTCCTTCGTTTTTGCGGTCGTATCCAAACCTAATTTTAAAAAAATTAAACTTTGCATCAATTAAGAAAGTTAAATAATTAATTAAAAAAAAAATTACCTTGGAACCATTCCGGGTGGAGTTTTCGTTCGCTTTCGTTAGTTTTATCGGTTTCAACTTCCTTTAATAACTCAGCGAGTTTAAAAACTTTATTTTTCATTTTTTCGGTGAAAAATTCTTGGACTTTCTCCCCGGCGGTTAAATACTCTTCGTTTACCTCACGAATCGTGCGATATAAAATCTCGGCGTCAGTTTGTGCCCTTTCACCGGCTTTCACCCAAATCAACAACGTTTGGGGTTGAAGCGTTTCGAAATAATCTTCCGATTCAATTATTGTTCCATCAGGCGCTTGGAAACGTATCTCCAAATCAGATTTTAGCTTAAATTTTTCTTTCGTTTTTTGGGTTAATTCTAAAAGGGTTTTTACGGCGATTCCAACGCGGATTCTTCGCTCGGAATCGGTTACTTTAAAACCCTTAATCAAAGCCATTTTTAAGTTTGATTTATCTAAATACAAGGGATCTTAATTAATATGAAATGAAACGATATAAAGGGAGGGCTTACCTTTATGTTTTGGCTTTTGGGGGTGTGATGTTTTACGGATGGAGGAGCTTGCAGAAATGCATACGGAAACGAAACGGGGACGCTCGTTCCATCTAGGCCAATGTCACGTTGTCGTTCTCACTCTCGACAAACGTCCCAGATTTTCCACGATCATGCGCGATTTCCACTAGGAGTTTTCCGTTTTGACCCTGGGAGATAATAAGAAATGGGAAGGGAAAATAAATGGGATTTTTTGTGTTTTTATATTGGCACAATTTTTATTTACTAAAAAATCAAAATGGCGGTTGACGTTTTTAATACCAACTTAATTAAGAATTATTTAAATAAATAAGCTTTTTTTAAATAAACGAATTAATTTTATTATTGAAGAAAATTTCGCCGGGAAAAATTGGGTCGTTCCTAATAAGGCCATCGATTTTGAGAAATTGGGTCGTAACCCAATTTCAAAGGACAACCTAATAACCTTGACCCAGTAAATGTTCTTTCTGGGGAGAAATGGGTGTCCTAATTCGCATTCGACCTTGAACTTACCTCCTTTTTCTTAAATCAAATGAAACAAATCCTTTTTTATTTTATTAATCGATTTATTGATCACAATGAAAACATTATTATACACATAAGCACACATTCAACATTTACTTATTTTTACCAATTCTTTATATTATAGGTTAATTAATTAACAGACGGAAAGGATTTATTGCTTAGGTTCTTGTTGTAAAAAAAAATATAATAGAAATTAATACTTTATAGCAAAGAAATTAAATTAAATTAATAAAAAAACTCTGAGATACCCAGAAAAAAGAAAATTAATTAATTACAATTATTTTTGATTCAACAACTTTTTAATTTACTAAGAAACTGAGTTAAGTCATATTCATCGTCGTATTGATTTTGATCCCATAAATCGGGGAGTGTTTCTAAGATGGCTTTAACACCTCCTGGTGCGGTTTTATTCGTAACCGTTTGAGACGTTGATGGTTTGTTTGAGAATAAATCCAATAATTGTTCTGTCCCCATCGTTTCTAATCGGCTATTTTCTCCACTTATAACTGTATTTGCTGTTTGTACTTTGAATTTTTGTAACCTAAAAATGAATTTAAATTAAAAATAAAAATTGATTTTAATGAATCAATAATACCCCATAATTTTTTCTTCTAAAGTCGATCTTGTAATTAACCTATACACATTAACAACTTTTCTTTGTCCGATCCGATGGGCTCTATCCATAGCTTGAAGATCTTTCATTGGATTCCAGTCATGCTCAACGAATATAACCGTATCAGCACCAGTTAGATTTAAACCTAATCCACCCACTTGTGTTGTTAATAATAAAACGTCTATGGAAGGGTCGTTGTTGAATCTAAAATGACTTTGTTTTAATTTTAAAGAGACAAAATTAAATTTTCTTTTACCTAGTAACTAATGTTTGTCTTTGACTAGCCGGAACGGTTCCATCCAACCTCAAATAAGTAACGGTGGGCATGTGTTTCTTGAAGAGATCGTTCTCGATGATGTCCAACATCGATTTCATTTGACAAAAAACCAATGCGCGATGTTGGTTTATCACCAATTCGGAAGATTGAGTCATTGCTAAACCAATTCCGCAGTCTTGTAACAGTTGTCTACAAAAAAAATTATTTAAAAATTAGTTTTAACTAAAATAATTTTTTGACAGTTTTTTTTATCAAAATGACAGTTGATATAAAAACATTAAAATTAATTTTTGAAATTAATTCTAATTTTTAAAAATAATTTTAACCCATTTAATAATTATATATTTATAATTTAATTGTTTTAAAATTAGTTGTTAGAGTTAATAATTTAAGTAAAAACATGTGGTGATTTTAATTATAAGCGTGTGGTAGCACTGTCTTTCATTTTTGACAAATATTTATATTACAAATCTGAGAGTTTATAGCTTTAATTAGAGTTTTAGCTTCTGTTCTGTGCTTTAAGCCGAGGTCGCGTGCGGCCGAGACAGAAGTGCAACAATATTTTCTTTTAGGTCTAAGTCTTTCATTAATAATACGATCATACGATTTGACGATCATCGCGGGTTTATAATTCTAGTTTTAGTTCAACAAAAATACACTTCAAGAAGTTTTCAAGTCTTCAGAAAGGCATAAAGTTGAATTAGGATACGTTCAGAAACGTCAACATTAAAAAAAATCTCATTGACTTTATTTATTGGAGTTAAGAAACGATTTATATTTCAAATTGAAGATGAAAGATGTTATTTCCAATATTATATAAAAATTGCTGGGTTAATATTAAAAATTCGTAGAGAGAAAGTCTTTAAAACGGAATTAAATTGAATTAGGATGTTCGAAAACGCCAAAATGTAAAAAAAAATGATTACTTTTAGAATTTTTTGAGTTAAGAAACGATTTATATCAAACATTGAAGATAAAAAACGACATTTTAAGGTATGATATAAAAAATTCCTCGTTAATGATAAAAATTTGTAAAGAAAAGTTGTTTAATAGGAATTAAATTGAATTAGGTTATGTTTGAAACGTCAAAATTGTGATTTGGTGTACATAGTCAGAGGAATAACCATGAATTGTATATCATGTCATTAATAAAAGATTAAGACCTAAAATAAAACATTGTACAACTTCTACAGCGACCGCTAGCAACCTCGGCTAAAACATATAATTTTGTAACTTTCTTAACACATTTTTAATATAATAAACAATCAAAAAAATACTTACTTTAAAGCGGGTAATTTAGCCGAATGATGAATATCATTCAACTGTGAATTCTGCGTTTGCAAAACTTCCTTAATAGCTCCAAATTGGGGATGATTCGGCCCCAAAACTAATTTCGGATGATTACAAACGTTTTGTAAATATCTTAACGCCTGGAATATATGCGTGTTTCCCTGCATCGAACTCGCCGTAGCCCCCGTTGACAACGATTCTTCCAACGTTTGATGAGCGGGCGATTTCGAGAAATCGTCGTATAACAATTCTTGTAACGGTGATAATTCGCAATAGTAATCTTGCGTTATTTTCGGGGGTAAATCATCTAAAACGTCCTCTTTCATTCGGCGTAATAAAAACGGTAAAACTTGTCGATGCAAAGCTTCCATCGCCAAAGCCCCCGCTTCTTGTTCTTTCGGGGAACATTTCGGGTCGCGGCTGGCTAAAATTGGGCGAGAATATCTCGCGGTAAATTGTTTCTCCGTTCCCAAAAATCCCGGCATTAAAAAATCGAAAAGACTCCATAATTCTAAAACGTTATTTTGTATCGGAGTTCCACTTAAAATTAAACGATGATTCGCGTTTAATTGCTTTATCGCCATACTCGTGCGGGTTTTTCCGTTTTTAATTACATGACCTTCGTCTAAAATTATATAATTCCATTTTATAGGGGCGAAAAATAATATATCTTTTCGGACGATATCGTAGGAAGCAACGATGAGATTATAACGGTCCATTTTGTTGCGTAAACGCTCTCTTTCTACAGGTGTCCCATAATATTGAAGTGGTCGGATGTATTTGTGGGATAAAAATTTTTCAACCTCATAAACCCAATGACCTGTTAGTGTAGGGGGGCAAATCACTAAAGATTGTAATGGGGCGCAATCAACCGCACGAGTTTCCTTAAACTTTTTATCCCTCAAAAAATGATCTCCGGCTAAAATACAAATCGATTGTAACGTTTTTCCCAATCCCATATCGTCGCATAAAATCCCGTGGAGTTTATATTTATTTAAAAATCCCAACCAATTCACCCCGGCTTGTTGGTAACTCCTCAACGAGGCATCAATCGGAACTGGAACGACATAATCAGGAATCGTAGATGGAGTTAATAATTGTTGTAAAAATAATCGTTCTCGATTACGTTGTTCGCATAATTTACTTAAATTTAATCCTTTTGGTTCGGGAACGGCCCCATCTAACGGCATTAATTGCACTAAAGTCGCAAAACTGTGAGTTCCCATTAATCGCACGCATTGATTTTGATCTGACATTCGCCCCAATAATGGGATAACCAACAACACAACATAAGGGACTATATCAAATTGTAAAGCATCGACGATACAAGCAATCGCCTCAACGGCTCCTTGCCGGTTAATATCGTTATCAACGACACTTAATTGAGGTAAAACTTTCGCAACGACCAACTCCATAACAGCCACTGAATTCATTCGGGCAAAAACCGCCAAACAACGTGATGCTAAATGGCGCACGGCTCGATATTGATGCGATAATAACAAACAGAGCCGATTTAATGAATTCTCCAATAATTTTTCGTGTAAATCTGGGTGAACGTTCGGGCTGGTTATCTCTAAAACTTGTAAACTCCAAACTAATTGTTCCGCTTCGTCGTCGTTACCTTGAGTACGGTTTGGATCAAAAGTTTCTGGGTTAACTAATTCGATTAATTTCCCAACGATTAATTCCCACATTTTCGATAAGTTTTCAGGGAGATTTTTTCCAAAATAAACGACAATTTCAGTTAGGGCCAACGTTGCACCTCGACGTTGAATTCGATTTGATTTTTGAACCTCATCTTCTTCTTTGAATAACTCTTCAAGGGGGATATCGGTGGCTGGGGGTCTCCCGGGACCTCTCCCTGTTGAATTTGATCGTTTAAACGCAGCTTTCTCCGCGTTTCTTTGTTGGTTATTTAAAGTAACAATTCCGTTGTAGTTCCCTCTTGGTTGGTTAATTAAATGCTCGTTGTTTGATTGCCCCGGAAAAATTTTATGAATAACCGGGGTGAATTCTGGGTCACAACGTAAGAAAGTACATAAATTAATTAAAATTTTATCGTTTGGGCACGGATTCCTTCCTCGACATTGATCTAATAGCTTCGCTAAATGCTTCGCGGCGATTTGTTGTAATTCTTCTTCGTTTTCTCGCCGGATTGATTCCATTAAAGGTTTTACAACGGGGGTTAACTTCTCCGGGAGTGCTTTAAACATTACTACGGCCCCTGATAAAGCGGCTAATGTGCTAATACTCAATAATAGTTGATCTTGCGCCGTTTGAGAAACCGAATTATGCAAAGATTTCCGCCTTTCCTCTAAATTATCGGAAACTTTTTGTTTCAATTTTTGTTTTAATAAAACTTTTTGTGTTTCGACCCCGGTGACGTGTTTCATCATATCTAGAGTTAAAACTCCATTTAAATCCCCGTTAATATTAACGTTAACTTTGTAATGTTTTAATGTCGCTATAAAATCTTTGGTTTCTTGGGCGAGCTTCGTAAAACTCATCGCAATCTCCTCGAAATAAACGCATTCCGATAAACATTTATGTAAAATCGTTTTAAGGGGTTCCGGGCAAATCGTGTCTTGATCTTGTTTCGCCCACTCGGCGATCACCAAACCAGCCATCATCCTTTGTAAAGCCGATTTAGATTGTAAATGCCCCAATAAGATATTAACATAGCTATTCAACGGGATTTGATCTTGCGAATAATCCACCCCAGGGGCTCGTTTTACGATGTAAAACGATAACAAACCCAGCATCCTCGCAGCCATACAACGCACTTTAATCGCGTTACCTTCTCGAACATTCAAAGCGGTCGTTTCGCTTCCTCCGATGAATAATTTTGGGACGACGACGGATTGATCGAAATTATTTATTCCTTCGATTCCCTTTTTTTCTTTCCTTTCCCGAGTCGATGCAAAAATTAATAAGTTATGATCGTAAGGAATACGAACTGGTTGCATGCTGAGGCATAACCAAATACTTATAAAGGGGCAACTCGCTAAAAGGAGGGGAACTAAAGCCGAAAATCGGATTAATTGGCCCCAAACTGTATCCGCCAAATTCCGAACGTCACAAAGGGGCTCTACGAGAACTCGTTGATAAACGTGTCGAAGCGCATCTTGAAGTAATTGAGCCTCCCATTGTATCGTATTTCCATCAGCTAAAGTTCCGAGAGTTTGAAGAGTTGCTTTTCGTACACTTGAAGCACTATGCGAAAGAAATGGCCATAATCTTGGAACAACCTAAAAATAAAATAATTTATTATTAAAAATCAAAGATTTATATTAAAAAATTTCGTAATCGCTACAAAACCTATAAAAAAAATCATTACCAACCTAAATTTTGTGACTTTTAAAGTTAAAATTATTTAATAACCTAAAATTTTTGGACAGTTTTTAATAAATTTATTACCTCGGATAAATTTTGTGGTGGTAATAATTCCGGAGCTTTTTTCAAGCTTAAAATTCTTGCTAAAAGTCCCATAAAGCTATTACAAGCAGCCGCCAATTCATCTTGTTCCGCTAAAAGATCCCAAAGTTTCGTGACAACCTCCGGAATAGACCCAGGAACTAATTCGACCAATTTCTCCGCAATTGGAATTAAAGCCGAAGCGGCGACGGCTCCTACATCATCAACTGGGTCAGAAAGACCGCGTAAAATATTGGGAAACGCGTTCTCTAATAATACATCGACGATATCATCGCGAACGGCGAGTAAATATTTTAAACCTAAATGACCGCCATGTCTCGCTTCCCAACCTTGTTGTTCTAATAGTTGAAGCATGATTTTGAGGGCTGCTTTACATCCGTTTTCGTCCATTAATTTTAGGATGGTGCAAAGACATTGAGCGCATGTTTCCCGAACTGGGGCTACAACCGAATCGGAAACGAAATCACCAAATTTATCTAAGGCTAAGACGCAAAGGAGGCGAATTGACATGTCTTCCAGCCAAGCTTGGTGATATTCATTCATCTGGGAATAAAAATAATTAATTAAAAATTAATTAATTTGACTTTTATTACTTACTTGGGATTGAGTTAAATAAATAGACTTTCCGGCTCCGCTTCCGTGCACGGATAAAATTTCTCTTAAAGCTGTGGCGGCGCCGTGTCGCGATTCCCAACTTGAACTAAACAAATCTTGACTTAATTGATCACAAAACCACTCCAACGGCCAATCACCGTGATCGTTTAACTCAAACTCGGTGTTTATTTCCTCTTTAATTTTATCTTCGATTTTAATTCTTTTCCAATCGGGTTCTAAATCCTCCTCCATTGGTTCTCGCGATCTTTGCTTACCAAATGCTTGCCTCGCCTTCCGTCTGGCTCGATTCATTTCCCTCGAACTTAACCCAATTTCTCGCGAATTCGAAATCACGTCCCTCAAAGCTTTTTTATTTTCCTCTTTCACTCCAACATCCCCCCCACTTCCTCCTTCATCAATTTTTAAATCATCGTTAGTAAAAAGCTCGGGTACTTCTAATCCTATATTTCCGACAACATCTAAACCTAACCTAGCATTTAACATTTGTCTTTGTTTCGCCATTTTTTCCTTTAAATCTATTCCAAGAGTAGAATCTTCTTCAACATCAAATTCTTTTCCTTCCGATGCCATTAAATGCGTGCTATTCGCTAAAACTTTAGCCATATCGAAATTTTCGAACCGTAAACGCCCGATGCATGATATTGGTGGAATTTGTTCCTCCTCCGGTTTTAAAGTAACCGGTTTCGGGTCCCATTGAGGTACGTTACTGACGATTGCGCGAACTGCCTCTGCCGCAGCAACGCGCGTTTCCCAATTTGTTGATTTTAAATAACTTGCTGTGCGGGTTAATAAAGTGTTTAATTCGTGGGGGTGTAATTTTTGGACTTCTCCGAGTTGTTTTGCTGCTGTTGAACGGGTTACGGCGCAACTTCCGCTTTCAAGGAGGACGAAGAGGCGATCCAAACGACTGTTTAAAAAAAATAAATAATATTAATATAACCTAAAAAATTAATTTTGATTGTCAAATTTTATTGAAGCTTTTCGATAAGAGATGGCGCTTAATTATTTTTAACCTAAAAAATATAAAAAAATTTTTGATTAAAAATTATGTAAATATTCGTTTCCTGAATACTTTGAATTTAATTTTAATAGTTGCAATGTGATAAGGTTGAGATAACGGTAATAACAGATAAGAATGTGCAATGGTTATTTTTTCCCCTATTTTCCTCTTTTCTATTTACTTAAAATTTTTTTGTATGGTTATTAAGAAAAATCTTACATAATTTTTAAAACTTACCTTGAAGTCATGGTATCTTGTTATTTGGTAAACCTAGAAAATAAGGAATAAATCGGAGTTAAAGATTAAATTGTAACGGAGAGAGAGTAAAAGGCGCCTCGCAATTGGCCATATGGACAAAATCAATAATGCCAAATATTATTAAAACCAGCACCCAGCCGAAATCAATTTTTTTTGGAGAAAAATTGAGGAATTTGATTTCAACTTTTCTCGTAGAACATAACCTTGAAAAGTTGATTTAAACGTCAAAAAATCGGCGGGTTTCGTTTTTAAGCAATAATCTTTAATCGGAAATTATAAAAGGGGCTTAATCATTTAATATGGTTGACACCGTATGTGCATTTTATTGTTGGACAAACAAAATACCCAAAAAGACGCCAATAGAAGCAAATAGATGCGACTTACCGTCTCGAAATGTCGGCTAATTCACTTTGAAAGGCATCCTACATCGATAACGAGCCACAAACAACACTTTCCAACGGTAATTTCGAAAATTCACGGAATTAAATAGTGTAATAACAGAAAGGAAGTCCATCATTCTAAGTTCTGTTTTATACTGACAGCCATACTTGGGATCAGCTCGACTTTATCCAGATACTGGTTTCCGATTGGTCGAAATCGTTTACAACTAACTTCTCCCCGTTGATAACTATCGCGATTAATCGTTTATAAAAAAGTTTATTTACTTTAATTCAGATTAATTGGTTGTATTCGAATTCGTTTCATCACTTTTTATCAATAAATAAAGTTATTTAATCTTAAATTTTTTGGAATTCTCACCGGGAATCTGACAGATAGTTCTAACCTCAAAAACTATAAACGTCATATAAAAAGACATAATTGAAAGAAAACCTTAAAATAAATCAATCAATTTAAAATTGTTAATAAAAAGAATCGAATAATAATTAAACAAATCACATGTAAATTAAATTAAAAAAATCGAAATAAAAAAAGATTGTGTCTAAAAAGTGAGGTTATGGGTGAAAATAACTTACTCATGGGGCCCAGAGAAGGTGTTAATTACCCGATTCAAGTGATTTATTGCGGTAATTGTACGATGCCTATTGAGGTATTATAAATCATTAATTTTTTTATTAAATAGATTAACACAGATTTAATTTTAGTATTGCGAGTATTACCCGGAGTACGATAAATGTAAACAATGGTTGGAAAAAAATCTTCCTTCCGAATTCGAAAAGGTTAAGATAGGTGATGAAGCAACAGACGCTACCGGAGAGGAAGAAAAGAAGCGGCAAAAACGCGGCGGAAAAGGAATGATCAAAGCAAAGAAAAAGGAGGAAGGGCCGAAACAAGTTTACGTTTCGAGGGCTCCGCGAGGCAAAAAGAAGTCTGTTACTGTCGTAACAGGGTTAAGTTCTTTTAGTAAGTTAATTAATATATTTTTTTATAATTAATTAATTTATTATTTTGAAGATATCGATTTAAAAGTGGCCGCAAAATTCTTTGGGACGAAATTCGCTTGTGGCTCCTCTGTAACCGGGGATGATGAAATCGTTATTCAAGGTGATGTAAAAGATGATTTGTTCGATATTATACCAGAGAAGTGGCCAGAGATCGATGAAGATTTAATCGAGGATTTAGGCGATCAAAAGAGATAAATATTAAAATAAACCCGAAATAATTTTTTTTGTTATTAATAAAAAAATAATACAAATTTTTTAAATCCTTAATTTATTTAATTTTCTTCCTCCTCTTCCTCCGGTTCAGCCTCTTTTAATGTCACCCCCAAATATTTCACACAAATGTTTAAAATTAATTGTACTTGATCTTCTGATAATCTTTCTTCACTTTCTTCGACTAACTAAAAAAAAAACTTTATTAATAAAATAAAGTTTATACGAATTTATTTATTAAACCAATTGAATTTCTAAAGGAGTCGCCGGGGGGTTATTAACGATCATTAATTTCTCGCGTTTTTTTAAGTTGAACGCATCCAAAGCTTTGATACAATCGATAACGTTGGAGGAATTCAATTTGGAGCACGGGGAGTTCTCCAAGAATCTTAGCGTCTAAAATATTAAAAAGTTATTTTTGTTAAGGTTTAATTAAAACGAATACTTCGTAAGTAATCGTCGCTAATTGCCCTTTTTGCTTCCTTTGGGTATCCTTAATTTTTTGTAGATGCGACATAACCTCAAAGTTACTCAAAGTTGCTACGTTTGAATTAACGCTTAAAAAAGGACGATTATAAGAAATAAATAAATTGTTGGTTTATACTTACATTTCCATAATTAATTTTTTATTTATAACAATAATTTTTATTTTTTTTTATTTAGATTTGACAGTTAATATAGGTTAGGTCGTGCAAAATTGGTTGCCTATTTCACCAAAAAAAATTTTATTTAATATTTACATATTTAATAAAATAAAATTAACATTAATAAATTAAGTAAATAGTTTAAAAATTATTCCTCGCCGCCCGAAATCGTTTAGGTCCATCTTTACTCTCTTCTAAGCAGGGGACTTGGATTAAATTGAAATAAACGTTTCCCATGATATGCGCCGTGGGCGAATCGCTTCTTTTCAAGCATTTATAAAGCTCATCGTCGCATTTGCAGTGACTTTTTGTGTATAAAGAGTTGTTGGTTAAATTGTAACGTTTCGTGTACGCTCTAACTTTAACTGGGCATAAATCGTGGGTTCTACAACAACGATCAACTTTGGATTCGGCCCCTAAATCGTGATAATCTTTGGCTATATCCCCAGTTCCGCACCATTTCGTGCCTAAAATTTAAAAAAAAATTATTTAGATCTGTTTTTGAGTTGATTTGTAAGAGAGGTTTTGCGCGTGAGTAACTCGCTTATCTGGTCTTATTTTAGGTTAGCGGCAAACGCACAATGAATAACATCACATTCGTTCAAGTTTAACTGATGCGGAAAGCACCGAAGTGACATAAAAATATTATTTATTTATATAAAGTAACAAAAAGTGTTAATGAATAATCCTTGCGTGATTCCGACCCCTTGCGAAGATTTATCCGGCGATGGAAGGTGGATGAGTCTCCATAAGCGTTATGTGCAAGAAGCGAAATCGAGCGAACCCGAAATCGTATTTATTGGAGACTCGATTATCCATCAAATGCAATTCAGCACGTTGTGGAACGAAAAAATCAGTTCTTTGCATTGTTTGAATTTCGGGATCGGCGGAGATCGGTAAAAAAATTTTTTTTTAATATAGTAATTTCGACGTCAATTCAGAAGTTAAATTAAAAAACTACTCACTTCCTTTACGTTCGTTAAAGCTTAAATTAAACTCAAACGGCGTTTCAATCTTAATTTAATTTCTTTTTAGCGTTGAAAACGTTTTGTGGCGTTTACAAAATGGGGAGTTGGATTTTCACGTGAAATTAAAGGCGATCGTTTTGTTTGTTGGTACGAATAACACGGATTGTACCCCCCACGAAGTTTATGAGGGGATTTTGGAGATCATTAAAACGATTCGGCATAAATTGGGAAATGAAGTTGGAATTGTTTTGCCCACCATGTTACCACGCGGACAATTCCCGAATCCCTACCGAGAAAGGATGGATCACGTCAATCTATTTCTACTCGATAAATTTACAAACGACGGAAATGCTGATGATTTAACTATAAACGTTCACATCGTTAGTATTCACGAGAATATTGTTAGAAGTGACCAAACCATTTCGCATCATCTACTATACGATTATTTACATTTATCGGATTCTGGGTACTCGAAGATTTTCGAGCCGGTTTATAAAACGTTATTGAAAGTTTTAGAAAACTCTATCTAAAAAATCATTAAATAAATACTATAATTTAATTTATTACTTTTTTTATTTTTTCTAATTCAAATACCTGGTATAATCCCACTCAGCAAAGTTAAAGGATTATTAGATAAAAGCCCCCGTGCCATGTTAGGGGGTGCCACCGATGGGACGCGATCCTGCGAATTAAACGAATCTACTTGTTGACATTGCGACATTAAGGTCATCATTTCCGGAAAAGAAATCGCCACGGGTCGGGAAAATTTCGACAATTGCCCCAATGCCATTAAAGCTTCCTCAGGTTCACTAAAAATCAAATCAAATTTATTAATAAACAATTATTTGACGTTTCAAATTTGACGTTTCAATTCTGATAATTAAAATTTGATGAAATTTTTTTTTTTAAGTTTAGGTTGGTAATGAATTTTTAGGTTAAATGAAACGAAGTCATATTTTCTAAAAAAAAAAACTTTCTAATTTTAACAGTGCGATTTTAACCTATTTATTGCGTGTTTCAACACCGCCGTGTCGTTAAACACTTAATTGCAGCCAGTATTCATTATTTAAATGTGCCAGTGAAGGTTATTTTCTTTTTATTTGATGAGAAACGCGAAATCGACAACTTGGTGAAGGACGTTAATTACACGACGTAAAGTGGAATTTTAAACCGGATATGATGCGAAAATAATGTTTTTCTTTCAATAAGGAATTGATTAATCGTGTTTTTGTGTTGAAATAATTACTTAATTACGTTTCTATTTTGATAAAGTTGACATTTGACTTAAATTATGCCGGTAAAGAAGATAACTTTTTTGTTTATGTTTTGGATTAGATTCTCGCTTGGTTATAAAGTGATTTATTGATTTAATAAACTACTAATTATTAAATCAAAAAGAATCATTAAATTTAATTGTTATAAAAATATTTTAACCTAAAATCAGATTTGATTTGTCAATTTTTTTTATCCAATTTCACATCATTTTCAAATGTCAACCTAACCTAAGTCGCTTCGTTACAACCAGCATACATTATTTAAATGTCCCAGTAAAGAATATTTTCTTTTTATTTAATGTGAAACGCGAAATCGACAACTTAGTGAAGGACAACATCGGTTATTTGAGGTAAAGTGGAACTTTTTTATGTTGAAATAATTATTTTGATCAATTTTTTTTAGGGTATGTTGTCATTTGACTTAAGTTACGCCGGTAAAGAAGATAATTTTTTTTTGATTTTATTTAGATAATTTATTTAAAATTCTTAAAGATAGATAGAAATATGTATATATTCTTGATTATTGATATATTAATAATAATTAATATTATTAATAATATTAATTAAATAAAGTGAGTAAATTAAATTTTTATGTCAAATTTTTGTTAGCGTTGTTTTGAAACGTCAACCCAACCTAACCTAAAATAATTTCAATTTATTTTACAATTTGAAATAACTTTCAAATAAGAAAAGTCAAGGAGAACGACTTCAGAAATAAAAATTTCGCATTATGTATTTTAGGTGAAAGTTAAGTTGAAATTAAAAAATCATTATCCTTCATAAATTATTTAAAACGATTTCAATACCAACACAAGAAAAATTATAGATTTATCGATTAAAAAAAAAAAACAAAATTACTTACTAAACTTCCAATAATTCGCAATTTAAAAGTAACTTTCTTGGTCCTAATTCCGCAACGGCCACCGTTTGGTCGTAAAAGTACACCATCCGAAGACTATCGTTTGTAACCCGTTTTCCGCTGTATTGTTTTAAGGCGGAATCGCGCTGTTCGCGAGCGGTTTGGCCGAAACCGGCTAGCGCGGCAAAATTCGGCAAATTAAAAGAAAGTGACGGTTTTCCGTGAATACCCAGGAAAAAACACACGAGTAATGAAGCGAAAAACCGTTTTGTTCCCATTTTTATTTTTTAAATTTCCCGCGTTACAACAATCGCGGCCATCCAATTAAAATCCGATTTCGATACGAAACAAACGCTACCACGGTCGCTGTCATTATGACAGCGGCGTTTTATGCTCCATCAAATGGTTATTAATTAGTAAATGAAATTAATTATTTATAGAAGGGGATGATAAATATTCAATAATTTTTTTTTTGGTAAGTTTTTTTTTGATTTAATCACAATTATTAATTATTTTCATTTAATTTTTAATAAATTAAATTAATTAAACATTTTTTTTGACAGATGTCAAATAAAAAAATTTAAATTGGGTCAATATCTCTTCCGTACTAATTTAATATTCTTCGCAAAACTCGTCTTTAACTCATCGCCGTTTCACTCGCGGTGAAATTAGAGGAGAAAATAACCCGTTAAAACAACAATTTGTAATTTTAAATGTTAATTATTTAACGAATTAAACTAATTAGCACTTCACGCCGACACACTTTTGACTAATGCGGTACATATTTTTCAAAATTGTGGCGGGTACTTTAAATGATATTATATTTCGCGTCTCCACGTGCGTTTAACTTGGTGGCCTTTTGAATTATTGGTAGCGACGGTTCGATTCAAAGTGGGTTACCGGTGACGATTGCGAAGTAAACGGGGGAAACCGGAAAAAAAAAGTGGGGCTCGAATCGATAATATTGTATGAAACGTTAATTAATTTAATATTTTTAGATTTTCTTAAAGAAATGGATGATGAAGAATCCCCCCGAAATGATGAACACCCCCCGGCAGTTCCACCAGAAAACGAAGAAGTCATATTAAGAGAAATCGAAGAATTATTACTCGACGACATCCAAGTAATTATTTAATCTAATCAATTAATTTATTTTTTTTTGTTTAAAGGAACATTTTGAAACCAACCAGGCGAATAAAGACAACAACGATGATAGCGCCGATGAGAGACTCGGAGAATCTTACGAACGAGCCAACGAACGCTTAACATTCCCAAGAAAATACAAAATGAAATTCCCTTATACCAAAACATCAATAATTTCATCGATTTCATGCAGTGGAGAACTATCTAAAAGCACAAACCAAAAATCCGTGATAAAAAGGCGCATTTATATCACATCGTGTCACGTTAAAGAGCAATGTAACAAAAAATTGAGTTTGGTTTCGTTAGAACCCCATTTATCACCGATCGCTAAAGGAAAAATCGAACTAAAAGAAACAAATTGTGGTCTTTTACTAACGTTTTACGATGAAGATGATTTTAATAAAATGCTCCGAATGAGTTTGTCGAAAATTTTTAACACCCCAATCGCCGTTTGGAACATCCCGCACATTAATTCGAGAGTAAATAACACAATAATCATTCGTGATATCCCCTGGTGTGTTAAAACCAAAGAAATCGAGGATGTTTTAAACGTTTATGGAGTTTGTCCTTTATATTCGACGAGAAATGAAGATGGCTCGATTAAAGTAGTCGTTAAAAACCCATTTTCCTTAAACAAATTGTTACGGGATGGATTAAATTTTTATAATTCAATTATTTTACCGGTTTCGTTAGAACCATCACCGAATCCCGACATCATCCAATGTTATAGGTGCCAAAGATTTTGGCACACAGCCCAATTTTGCCCGTTTAGCGAACGTTGTGTGAGATGTGGTGATAAACACGATTTCCGTATGTGCACGAGAGATAGAAATGACCCAAATTGTTGCTTGTGCGGTGACGCGCATCACGCAGCCTATAAATATTGCCCGGTGAGGATACAACATCTCAATACAGTCCAAGTGGATGTTAATTTAGAACGAGAATGATGTTTATTTTGAGGTTATAAATAAATTATTTTGTAAACAACAAATTGTCATTTCACTTAGCGCCATCTACCACGTCATACTACATAACCTAAAAATTCGATGCGACACATTTTCATAACACGCCAAGTAAAAGTGAATTTAACCCGATTTTTCGCTACCTCCGCAATGAGTCGCGAAAAAGAAACGATCCAAACAATAACCGAAGGAAAAGCTAGCGTAAAAACGAGCGGAAAAGTTTTTTACAACCCCGTACAAGAATTTAATAGAGATTTAAGGTTGGTACAACTGATTAAAACCCCGCGAAATTTGAATCATTTTTATTTTAGCATTGCCGTTTTAACCGCTTTCGTAAAAAATTTTAAAACTGGGAAAGAAAAGGCGAGAAAAAATGCTGAAATAAACGTGATTTTAAATAAATCAAATCATGATGTAGGGGTTAAAAATGAGGATGGAATCGTAATCTTAGAGGCGTTATCTGCGACGGGACTTCGCAGTATCCGCTATGCTAAAGAAATAGGGGGAATTAAAGAAATTATCGCTAATGATATCTCGCAAAAAGCCGTCGAGAGTATTAAAGAGAATATCCTTGAGAATAATGTTGCTGATTTAGTGACAGCTAGTTTTAACGATGCTACGTAATCATTAAATTATACGCAATAAATAATTTAACTAAAACTAGAACTAATACTATCTCTATAACTAACACTATGCCTAGAATTAGAATCATTCAGGTTTAGCTGTCTTTAGAGACGTGTGGCTAAACCCAAATGACTCTAGTTCTTTCTAGGTATAGTGTTAGTTCAACATAGTAACAGTGCTAGTGTAAAACTAGAACTGACACTATACCTAGAACTAGAATCATTTGGGTTTAGCCGCTATATTATTTATATTACATATTATTACTTATCTATTCTTCAAAATTATTGTACTTCTAGGTCTAGTGTTAGTTCTAGTGATAGTGCTAGTGTTAATTCTAGTTTTAGTTTAATTAACACCTTCCCTGAAAGGTTTCGTACTCAAATTAATAATTTATTTTAGGATGTTAATGTATCAACATAGAATCGATCAATTTGACGCTATCGATTTAGATCCATATGGATGCCCATCAATATTCCTCGATTCCGCCATACAATCGATTAAAAACGGTGGGATTTTATTAGTAACAGCAACAGACATGGCAGTTTTAGCGGGCAATTCTCCAGAAACTTGTTATAGTAAATATGGGTCAATATCGTTACGGATAAAATCATGTCATGAAATGGCTTTACGCATCCTTTTACAATGCATCGAATCCCATGCAAATCGTTACGGAAAATACATCGAGCCCCTTTTATCAATTTCGGCTGATTTTTACGTCCGCGTTTTTGTTCGTGTTTTCGAATCGGCCCATAAATGTAAATACACTCTTAGTAAGTTATCAACGGTGTATCATTGCGGTGGGTGTGGATCTTTCGAGTTACAACCGTTGGGGGTAATTCGAAAAAATGAAAAAAATGGGCAAGACAAGTTTTGTTTACCGACTTGGGGAGGTGTTGGTGAGAAATGTGTGCATTGTGGGCATAGTTATCACGTTGGAGGTCCAATTTGGTCGGCTCCAATCCATGATAAAAATTTTGTGCGGTTAGTTTTGGATAATGCCCCAAATGAATTGGGGACTTATAAAAGAATTAAAGGGATTTTATCGGTAGTTCTTGAAGAATTAGATGATCCTTTGTATTATACTTTAGATAAATTAGCGGGGACTTTGCACGTTGAGGTGCCCCCCATGTTGACAGTTCGGTAAGAAAATTTAATGAAATTAATTAATTAATTACATTAAAATTTTTAGTTCAGCTATTTTAAACGCTGGATTTAAAGTATCTTATACTCACGGAAATAAATATTCCATCAAAACGGACGCCCCCGGAAAAGTAATTTGGGATATTATGCGGTGTTGGGTTAAATCACATCCTGTGAGCCAAAAAAGATTAACTCCTGGTACTCCCGTTGAAGTTATTTTGAGGGAAAAACCCGAAAAAGATTATTCATTCGAAATCCATTCCGAAGCAAACCCGGAATCGAAAAAATTGGGTTTGGTCAGGTACCAAGTGAATCCAACACCATTTTGGGGACCTGGAACAAGAGCAACCGCAATGTAAGCGTAAAAAATAAAATAATAATATCATTTTTTATTAAAATTTGTTTTCATTTTAAGGGTTTGTGATGAAAAAACGAATAAAAGTAAGAAAAACCAAAATAAACGGAAAAGAGAACCATCCGAAGAGAAATTATAATGTAATAAGCATTAAAAATAAATTTATTTTTGATTAATTGATTAAAAATGTTTAATATTTACAAATATTTGTGATTCATTTAAGATAAAAATGTTTTGAGTTTTGATTTAAAATTTGAATTCCCCGCGTAACCCCAACTTCCGGTTTACCAAAATTTTATCATTTTCTTCGAAGATTTAATTAATTTTTTGGTTATATTCAATTAATTGAGGTGTATTCTTGTTAAAAATAAATTAATTTTAATTGTAGGATGTTTTAAATATATGGAAAAATTAAAAATCCGAGATATTCCGAATGACATTCGCGGCGGCGCCATTATCGCAACAGTAGTTCCGGAAACGCACGCAAGCACGCACGCGTCACGAACGAAACCCAGAGTAAAACGGGCCGCAGCTGTGTCGGTTTTATTTTGAAATTTTCGCCGGTTTTGCAAAGCGATCGCGTGCAAAAATGTCTAACAATACAGCCCCCGATAATTGGGAGACCCAAGCGGACGCCCAATCTGTCGAAACCTCACCGACGAAACAACTCGCGGACGTCACACCGAAGTTCTCCACGTTGAACGTCAATGCCGTTGAATTTGTGCCTTCTTTTTGCAAGAACATCGGCGTCGAACAAAGCTCGAGCCCCCAGGATAACTCCCCAACCGAAGACGCCTCACCAGAACATTGTCCCGTCATAAACGGTATGAAATCTTTTTTTGCGACACCACCTTTTTTTTCCAAGTGCTCCCGGTCACGTTGACATTTGGAATGTTTTGAGGTTATGTTTGACCGTATTGCGGTTGTTTTAGCATATTGACACTTGTCTCTTTGTTAAATTTATTCAAAAATAATTTTTTTAAAATTATTATTTAAAAAAATCATCTCAAATATCAACGAATTATTGTAATAAAAAAATCGTTTTTATTTATAAAAGAAAATTGCATGAATTAAAAGAAAATTTTGTTTAAGACATAACCTAACTTTTCCCCCTTCTCCCAGGTACAAAACATTTAATCCACTGAAATCCAGTTAAAACCAGTTTTTACCTTTCTTCTTATTCTCTTAAATTGTTATTTAAAATTAAAATGATTTTTGTTTAGGTTCAAATACAGATCTGACGGAACAGGTAGACGTTCGAGAGCCACCTCCCGTGCCCCCGGCAGACGGGGGCGATACATCGCCGGGAGACGGCGGGACTTGGGAGGATGTGGCCGAAGACAACGAGGTTTTAACACCTGAAGGTGACGAGGATGAACCATCATCAGAAGAAGCCCCGAAAATAATCAAGAAAAAAATCGCAAAAGCCGAAGAAGCGGCTAAAAATAAAAAGGAACATGTAAACGTTGTGTTTATCGGGCACGTAGATGCCGGAAAATCAACTATCGGCGGACAAATTATGTCCTTAACGGGAATGGTTGATAAAAGAACGTTGGAGAAGTACGAAAGGGAGGCGCGGGAGAAAAGTAGGGAATCTTGGTATTTATCGTGGGCTCTAGATACAAATCAAGAAGGTAAAAAGTTGTGTTGGTATGGTAAAAAAGGAGTAATTTTATTTTTGTGTTAGAAAGGGATAAAGGAAAAACTGTAGAAGTAGGTAGAGCATATTTTGAGACTGAGAAAAAGCATTTTACTATATTAGACGCACCCGGACATAAAAGTTTTGTTCCGAATATGATTGGGGGGGCCGCCCAAGCAGATTTAGCCGTTTTAGTAAGTTTAATTCATTTTTATTTTATATAAATTAATTTTTATTCATGTTTTTAGGTAATTTCAGCAAGGAAAGGTGAATTTGAAACCGGTTTTGATCGAGGGGGGCAAACTCGAGAACACGCAATGTTGGCAAAAACAGCGGGGGTCAAACACTTGGTGGTTTTGGTGAATAAAATGGATGATCCAACGGTGAATTGGGACGAAACCCGTTATAACGAATGCCGTGATAAGATCATGCCCTATTTAAAAAAATTAGGATTCAATCCGGCCAAGGATTTAACGTTTCTCCCATGTTCAGGTTTAACGGGGTTAGGTTTACGCGAACAAATTGATGAAACGATTTGCCCGTGGTATCGAGGATCTGCTTTTATACCGTTCATCGATAATTTACCCTCACTCAATCGTAAATGTGATGGCCCCTTTATAATGCCCATTGTAGATAAGTACAAGGATATGGGGACGGTCGTTATGGGAAAAGTTGAAAGTGGCGAGTGTCGGAAAGGAACTAATTTAGTAATTATGCCTAATAGGGTAATAAAAATAAAATTAAATTAAATCCTAATACAAGTAATTAATTAAAAATATTTGTAGACTTCAGTGACGGTGGATCAACTTTGGTCGGATGATGATGAAGTCCAGCATGTGGTGCCTGGTGAAAACGTGAAAGTAAAGGTAAAAGGGGTTGAGGAGGAAGATGTTAGTCCTGGTTTCGTTCTTTGCGATGCAGCGCATCCAATTCGAGTGGGGCGAATTTTTGACGCGCAAGTTGTGATTCTCGAACACAAATCAATTATTTGTGCGGGGTACAGCGCTGTCATGCATATTCATTGTGCCGCCGAAGAGGTTACCGTTAAAGTAAGCTAATTTGTGAATCAAACCCTATAATAATTAATTATTAAAAAAATTTTAGGCCTTAATCTGTTTAGTCGATAAGAAAACTGGCGAAAAAAGCAAGACCCGACCGAGGTTCGTTAAACAAGACCAAGTAGCAATCATGAGAATAGAATGTGCGGGAGTAATTTGTTTGGAAGTATTCAAACTGTTTCCTCAAATGGGAAGGTTTACGCTGCGAGATGAAAGTAAATCGATTAAAAATTGAAAAAACTAAATTAATGATATATTTTTTTAGATAAAACGATTGCCATTGGGAAAGTTTTAAAAGTTGTGGAATAGTTTTGTTGATAAGGACAAAGATAGACATATTAGGATGTAAGATACTCTATTAAAAAAAAAAAAGAAAAAAAATGAGAATATAAAAAGTTTTAAAAATCGCAAAAGCAACGCAAAACGAAATTTAAAAAAATGTGTACGAATGAAGACTATGTTGGATGAGATTTTTTTCTTTGATTTATTATTTGAGGTGCTGAGGGGGATCCAGACAGGCTTAATAAGAATATCCTTTTTTGTACAGTTAGTTAATTTTTATTTTAATTTCTCAAAGTATAATCAAAATATTTGGTGTAGAGGATCTTTTTTCGTTTCAGATTGTTACTTATTTTTTTTTTTGTCATCTTCATTAATAATTAAAAAAAAAATGTATAATTATACGAAATAATTGTAAAATTTGTACTGCCGCTTTTTATTTATTGATAAAAAGAATAAGTACGTTAAATATTTTTTTTATTTTATTTTTAATGTGCCGTTGTAAATAAAAAGTAAAACATTGTGGGAATGGGGCGCATAAACGAGGATTTTTATGGATTAAAGGGGGGGGCTTTATGGAAAATTAATCCTTTCTGCGAGGCCTACGAGTCGCGCTACATGCTGCTTGAAACACGGATATAAATAATTATATATAAAGAAAAACGAATCTACGTACCTACGTTTCCGATAACACAAAAAAATAAATAAAATCCATTTTTGTACATAAGGAGCGACTAAAAATAGACAAATTAATAAAAAAATAATAAAATAAAAAGGAAATAGTAAACGAGAGAAGGAGAGCCGTCAAACTTACTTTCGACCCTTTCTCCATTAAGTTTGTATTAGTGTTTATATATAATATATGAGTAACCGAGAAATGTTGCTAACGATTTTATATATTCAATAAAATTTGAAATGATTTGATAAGAGCATTATTTTTATTAATAATTTGAAATAGAAATTATTTTAAAAAATAACCTCAAATATAATTTATTCTTTTAAATAAAATTAGGGGATTTTAGTTACTACATTTAAGTTGGTAATAAATTTTTAAAATCGTCTGTTTTTCACGTTTAATTTTTGACTGCTAAAACAATAATTATTAGTTTTAGTAAAAAAAAAATACAACAATATAACATTGAATAACAACTAAAAGTAGAACTAACACTAGATCCTAGAACTAGAATCATTTGAGTTTAGCCGTCTTAAGAGACATGCGGCATTCAATAAAAATATACAACAATCTAGCGTTGAATAACAATTAAAACTAAAAGCGTCTTTAGACGCACGGCTAAACCCAAATATTTCTAGGTTTAGTTTTAGTGCAACAAAAATATACTTCAGAAAGCCTTCAAATCTTCAGAAAGGAATTAAGTTGAATTAGAATACGTTCGAAAACGTTAAAATTAAAAGAAATCTCTTTAACCTTATTTTTTGGAGTTAAGAAACGATTTATATCATAAATTGAAGATAAAAGATGCTATTTTCGATATCACATAAAAATTGCTGAGTTAATAACAAAAATTTGTAAAGAAAACTTTTTAAAGAGGAATTAGGTTGAACGGGCTATGTTCGAAACGTCAAAATTGTGACTTAGTGCACATACAGTATGCAAAATCCGTATTGGAACACCCTCCGGGTGTAAATATTACAATATTTTTGATGATTTATTTCATTAATATTTATTAGAATTATTGTTCTTATTGTTGTTTAATAGAGAAAGTCAACAAAAGATGGCGCTCGCTTTTAGATTCGACCGTATTTTTCAATAACGAATTATTTTTCGCGGTTGTTAAAATTTTGAATTTATATGGTGTTTAGGTTTTACTAAATTTAAGCGAAACCTATTTCTAGCCCATATATGAAAAGGTTGAATTGAATAAAAAGTTATGATTCTCCGATTTCTAGGTTAGGTAACGAAAAAAAAGTTTTTCATTAAATACATTTCTAAATACAGTATCCAATTACTCAATCTAATAAAATTGAACTTAAAAATGATTTAATTACCTTATTAAACTGCGCAGAGCACAAAATCACTTTTAAATAACTTGAAATCGTTTGACACATCAAAAAATAAATAAACAATCGCAACATCTATTGAAAATAATTCGAATTAATTTTAATACGTGTATTTGGTTGCATAACTTTCGAAAAATTATTTTTTTGAAATACTTTTTTAAAATTACTTATTTTACCAAGTGAAAGAAAGTTGCTAAATTAGCAAGTTATGCATAAAATTCGTTTTAACAGGCGATAAGCACGCGTGCGTCAGAGAAAATAAGTTAAGCGTTATAAACATTTCCGCGTTCAAATTGCGATATTTTTTTTCTTTGCGTTAAGTAAAAAAGTGTAGATAAAGTTGAAACCTGTTATCGTTAATTACATCGCCGCATTTTAAGCGTAAATTTCTTTAAATCGTTATCGGGATCGGAAAATCGTATAGAATCCATAAAATCCAAACTCACGACGCGTTTTATTCAATTTTACGACGTTCGAATCGAGTTAAAGTGAACGTGTTGGACATTTTAACGTTATAAACCCCGTTTTTAGGTTATGGTTATGGAAATCTTTTTTTAAGTTAAACTCAAATTGGCGAGATTGGCGGGTTTCGGGGTAATGATTAATTTTCGAAAAAAAGATAGGTTTCCGGGGTAAATTGGAAAAACAAGTCTATCGATTTTATAGTGGGCAGGGGTGGTGACGATGACGACGTCGACGAGAAGGACGAAAAGGGGGGGCTACGCCCACGAGTACCCCCAACGTCCTGGCTAAATTGCACTAAAAATAGGCGCGTAAACTCTACCCCGGGAATCGAGGGAAGACGCGTGGGCGAAAACATTAAATATCAATGTATAAAGTATCGAAATAATGTTTGAATTAATTTGACATAAATTTTTGTGATGAACATTACTTTCTTTTTTTTTTATTTTTTATTAAACGTTTGACATTTAAATTTAGAACACACCTCTTAGTTTAAATTTGCATCCTGTTCGAATGGAAATACGCGAAGGATATAGCCTTTCTAAACGGTCAAACCGTCCTGCTCCTGGTGGTTCTATTCCTGTACGACTCGAACCGTTACTCGGCCCGACTCCAAGAGAAAGAAAGTGTTGCGTTCCGCTTTTTTTCTCTTCCACCCGAGACTTTGCAAGGCCGTCGAGAGTTATGCGAGTAGCATACAAATTAGATCAATCAGTTTCCTAATAACAACTGAAATTTAATTCATCCACATGATAACTCTACATCTATTCGAAGCAACGTAAATAAATATAGGTCAACCTGTTTTGTAAAGGTTTTATTCACTTTTTAACTTATTTTTCTTTTTTTCAACAAGAGTTCTCGTTGCAAAACCGATTTAGAAAGGCGCCCCGCAATATGATACATGCAGGAGAGTGTCGCAACCGCGACCCGGTACGTGCGGTGCAGGTGACGTTGACACGATCTAAATTATTTTAAAAAAATAACCTCAAAATTAACTGTCAAAATGACACGTCAAAATAATTTTATTAAGTTATTATTAATAAGTTTAATAACTAAGAAAATAAAAATAAATTAATTAATTTAAAATCGATTTTTTAATTTTGATGTAATTTTATTTGAGATTCTTGATTTTTATTAATTAATTTAATTTATTTATTTATTAATCTTTTTTTATTATTTCAATGGTGGTAGTGGTGGTGTGTAGGAAGTGTGAAAAGTTGGAGGGGGGAAGCGTCGCGACGTTGAGATTATTTTAATTGCGCATGCGCCCCGGCCTACTACGGGCGCCCGATTCACCACGCTTTGACACTTCGAAACGCGCACTCAGTAGTGTAGAAACTTGCCCTCGCTCCGCATGTTTAATCGAATAAAATAAAGCGAATCCGTTTTATCCGCGAAAAAAATCAAATAATTTTATCGCGATTTTAAAAAATTTTGGTACAATTACTTCTTTTAGTGTAAAATTTAACAATTTTAAAGTTTTGTTAAGTTCACTGAGAAATCACCAAAAAAACGGTGAGTTTTTACGACATTAATTCTTTTTAGTTTTAAGTAAAACTTCGAAATCGAAAGATGAAGTGAACGTAAATTGTTTAGAGGCGGCGCGATTTTAGAAAGTAGGATGTGGACAATAGCGTAACGCTTAAAAAAGAATTTATTAATTAATTAATTAGTTCAAAAGTTTAATTGGGAATTTGAAAACTTCAATTTGTTCGCAAAATTGTAAATATTTTAGCATCTCGAAAGACCACTTCCACTCGGATTTTGTTTACGGTTTTTCCGAGAACAATCAGCTGGGTTATTATTAGCGATAAAACTCCGTGTTAAAAGAAAACAAGAAATCGTGGCTTTTTACTTTCAGAAAACACTTTTTTAACGGGTTTAAATCCAATTTAATATCGAATATATAATATATAACCTCAAAATGAAACGTCAAAAAATGACACATCGAAACAATACCTCGTTGCCATGACAACCAATACATAAATAAATAAATTAAAATTTTTAATTAATTAAAACCGAAAGAAACATCTAAAATTGATTTATTTTTAATTAAAAAATGTAATTACTTAAATTAATTTTGTTAAAGACAATTTTTTTTTCGAAGTTGTTTACTCTGCAAAATCAGTTTTAACAGTTCGTAATAACCTCTGTGGCGTTTCTTCTTAAATTTATCTAATTTTACAAAGAAAAAGCGGAATTGAACCAAAAACACCATCAAAAACCGTTTTAGAACTCCCAAATTATTTATTTGAAGTGATTGATCAAATAAATTATTATTACAACGAAAATTATTGAAATTTGAATCGATTTATCAGGAAAATGTCTTAATACCACGAAAAATCATGAAAATTTAAGGAAAAATTGTGGAATATTTACGAAATATGGTTCAAATCAAATTTAATATCGATAAAATAAAATTAATAGAACTTAAAAAATTTTATTTAACAGTTGATCCTGACAATTCATATTTTTGATAGTTTATAATAACCTTAATGACATTTCTTCCTAATTTTATTTCCTCTGCAACAAATTAATCACAAAATCGCTTCATAACCTTACAAAATGATAAAACAAAGTTTTATAACTAATTTTTTTAGTAATTAAAAAATAATTTAGGTTAAATAAATATAATTTTATCGTTTAATTTAATTATTACATTTCCTCCCATTCTTTATTAAATCACACTCAGACGCGACGTTTACTAAAAAATTAAATAAATAAAACTTAATAAAACCCTAAAAACTCTCGGTAATAAGCAATAAATTAAACAAAAAAAAACCTTTGTTTGGTTCTTTTTAGCGATTTATAACCCTGGTTTATTGTTGGGACGTTAAAAAATTATTAATTTTTACGGTTTCGCGATAACGTCTTTATAAACGCAACCAACAGAAATCTCTCAGTATTTAAGTTGTATTATAGAATTTTTAAGGCAAAATCGATCGTATCGAAACAAAATAAAACGTGTTGATATTTAAACAAGAAGGAAATCGTTTCAAGGTTATTTTATTTCTTCGACGATAATTTCAAACGGTCTCGCGACTCAATGTCTTAGCGCACCCACGAAACGCGCGCCACTGTACCGGCCCCGATACAGTTATGTCGCTCGACAAGAATTCAAAACCGCGCGTCTAGAAACGTGAAGGTTAAACTAAAAAGCCTCAAGGATAACCGACGAAACTAGAGAACCAAAAAATTCGTTTTATTAAAACTAAGCTTACTTACCGTTATTGAGGTTATATTGCTTTGTTTACATTTGCATCCATTTCTTTCTTCTCTCATTTTAAATCAAATTCATTTATCACAACTAAAAAAAGTAATTAATAAAACGAACATTATAATATAAATAATTAAATAAAGTCATTTCTTACCAATAAAATTTAACACGAAATTCTTTTATTTGACGTTTAATTTTTTTGACAGCTAACACGATTTGATTTGTTTAAATTAAACGGCTTGATTCTATTGAAATTATAATGAAATTTATATCGAAATTGTATCGAATGCGGTCGGTTATTGCATAATCCGGTTATTGTTCGTAGTTGGTGAAAGTTAAAAGATTGCAGAATCGGGTTCAGATGAATAAAGAAACGCGGAAATTACTCGCTGGTTTTGATGTCGTCCTGATTTTATTTTAAAAACCTTTTTAAAAATAAATCTAAAAAGTAAAATAAAGAAAAGAGAGCGGTTTCGTAAAAAAAAAGAATATAACTTATCGTAAAGATTTTAAGTGTTGATTTGAAAATTGTATTGATTAAAATAAAATAAAACGTGTTTAAGAAGGCCACAGCGTTTTGTGTTGATTATCTTGAGGTTGGAATCTTTGTAGATAATTTTTCTTTTTTATAGACGTGATCGTTCAAAATCTAATAGATAAAAAAATGTTTCGGTATTAAAAGAAGAATTGGGACATCAAAACACGTTTTATTTAAAAGATGCTTGGGTTGGTAAAAAGAAATAAGGCCACTAAAAGAATCAGCAGAAAAAATGTTTTGTTGTTGTAGGTTATGTTTGTTTTAATTCTTCAACTTTATTTTCTTTGTCATCTTCTGTTATAATAATTATTAATAATAATTAATAGTTAATCCTTACCTTGTAAATTAATTAAATTAAAAAAAAAAGATTTAGGTTAGTTTACTTTGACATTTTATTTTGACAGCGGAATGTTTCGATTTAATCTTTTTTTATGTTTCGATTGACAACTTTTTTTATTTTTTATTAAAATTTGTAAAATTAAAACGGATTAATTAAAATAAAGCACAAATCATCAAATTAAATTTTTTAATTTTCGAGATGCATCAGCTTATTAATAGCTTTTTTTTTGTTTAGTTATTTTGAAGTTGCACATTTTATCGTTGACTTTTCGATAAGTTATCGTCGTAATAACGTAAAATACTCTCTAACAATTTTTTATAATTAATTATTGAAATAAATGTAATATAATTGCGAAAGACTCTTTAAAACAAATAATAAATTTTAATTTGAAATTATTTAAACAACTGGAGTTGTTTACAAAATGGAAAAAAGAGGGCGATACGGGCGTATTTCTTTTTAATAAACCTTTTACTTTCGGATAAATATTAGTTTGATCATTTTTTTGGATCTGTTATCTTCGCTGATCGACAAGTGGCCAAGTTTATCAGAACCCATTGAGTATACTAAAATAAACGTTATAACAGATATTATTTTATACAAGGTGTAGTAAAATTTTGATTCAATCGAAAATTAGTAATTTTAGCTGTCAAATTAATCTGTCAATCTTAAAGCAATAATTAAATATAATTTATTAATTAATTCATAAAAACAGTTCTTGGAAATATTAAGAAGTCAAAATAACAAATTTCTTGGAATAATCAATATATAGTTTAAAAATATAAGAAACAAATATAACATTTCTGTGAAATTGTGTAACCGGAAGTGGTACTTTATCTGATCTTGTTCTCATTTTTAACATTTTAAGTTGAGATAAAGTAATCAAACATTGTATAAGCCTTTATAATCATGATAAACATTCAAAATTGCGAAACCAAAAATAAATTCTTCAATTGACAAGCATTAATATGGGCAACATAACCTCAAGAAACTGTTTTTATCTTTAGTAAATCGTCAAAAATTAAATTGACAGTTTTAATTTAGTGAATTTTTTAATATCAAGGTTGCCAATAAAATGAAATTTGTTAAGTGTCAAAAATTTGTAACGCTTGTTAATGAAACGGTTTTTATTTAAGAATATGCAACATAGTGATCTAATGCTAACTAGCACTGTCACTAACAATAGATCTTATAGATCGCGGTGCCCGGTAGCAATAATAACAATAAGAACATAACCTAAAATGCTTGGTAATTCATTTTCTTTATGAAATTTTAATTTTAATTGATTATAAATTTAGATAACATTCTAAACCGTTTTTTTTTATTTATTTTATGTGTTTTATCTTTGTTTTAGTTTTTTTTTCTCGTCGTAGAGATAAATTTGATTTGGGTTTAAGGGATATGATTCAAAGAAAAATCTTATTTTTGTTATTTTTTTATATCCCAAAGGGGAATTCGCATCTTACCATATCCATTTTTCCTTTTCACCACGAAAGTATATAATAATAACATTTTATAAATTTACATCTCGCACTTAATTTCAGATTAATTTCGATAACGGGTTGACTTTGAAATTGCGTTATGTCAAGGTTTCTTTTCGATAAAGATTAATTTTTTGGTTAATTCTTTTTAATTAGCTTCAATAATTATAAATTTATTTACATTTTAGTTCATTTTAGTATATACATAACATATTTTAGTATCGTAAACGAAAATTGCAACATTTTCTTCGTCGTAAAAGGCGTAATTTCGTTTAAATTTGCTAAAAAGTACAAAGTTTCTTTTCGTTTAATTTAAATTGTATTTATATGAATAAGTTATTTGTTGCTAAACCCGATTTCTGTGTAAATGTCAGATTCTCAGCTCTAATTCCAATACACGCGAGTTCGTTTCGGACTCACACTACTTTTGAGCAATAAACGCGTTCCGAAATTGCAACACCTGCTGCCCCTTACCGCCGCCGCCGCCACTGACACGAAATTGTTGTACTACATTCACCTCTCCCCGTCGAAAATCCACTTATAACGACGGCAACTTTCATTTTAAGACTCGCTTTGGTGATTTTCAACCCGAAAAAGTACAACAAAAATTTTAATAACCGTTTTATTTTCGTATAAGAATCTTTCATTCATGTATTCGAAAAAGTTTTTCTTATTTACATTTTAAGTACCACCAGATTTCTTTCGATATTCATGGGAAAAAGAGATTGGACAAGAAAATTCGCTTAATCTTATATTTTTAGATTTATTTTTATTATTATTAAATTGTTTATATTATACCTTTCGATAACAATTTTATCTCGATGCGGCGTTGATTTTAGTACAAATATTTATTTTCTTTCTGAAATGATTTAGATACACTTAAATAATCCTTTTAAATTTTTTATAGTCAAAGATACTAACTTTTAATTGACATTAGATGTTTTGACGGTTATGTCGGTAAAGTAGGGAACAGATTTAAGCGTTGTCAAAAAGTTAAAAGGATCGTTATAAATTTTTAAGATTTATATTAATTATTGATGCTTATAATCATAAAAAGGTGCTTATTTTAATTATAATACATCGACATAGATTAATTGGTTTGAAATAAGCTCCAAAATTAAAAAGAAAGAAGAAAAAATCGTAAGTTATAACCTATAATGTAACATAACCTCACTTTAAAACGTCAAATGATTTTAAATAAAAAAAAATGTTTAACAACTTTATCTCGTTTTACATATTTTTAAAACGATAACGTTGTTTCTTACACGTTGCAGTTTGCTTGCTTACAGGTTTTTTCCGTAATTATTATCGTAAAAGTGAATATTTTAAGTGTTTTTTAAAACTATTTTGCGTTACCCCTTTCGTTAATAATCGCGTAATATTTTCATTAAGGGTTTTATTGATTTTTTATTAAGTTAAATAAAAGGTTGCTAAAGCAATTGACCCCGTAGACGAAGACGAATCGAATTATTTCTGGACTATATCGATGTTTTATGTAATTATTTTTGTATTTAAAAAAGATCTTGATGTCAATTCCTATCTATTTATTTAATAACTAAAAATAGACGATAAGTACAAGGGGATTCACTTTTTTAAATTAGTTTAATTCGATCTAAATGTAAATTTTTTTTAAATTTCAGGTCTCAATCAATAATGACGATAAAATTCTAATCAAGAAGAAATCTCGAAGTCGCATCAAAAAGGTAAGATATTTAAGTAATTTAATGAATAGATACGTAGTTTAAAATTAAAGAAAAAAACTAGTTCGCATCATCGTCGTCGCATTATCATTTGCTAAAATTTCAAGGTTACTTCTCTCATCGTTGGCATAATATTAATATGTTTTAATTTTATCTAATCGTCAAGCGGGTCGTATTTTTTGAGAAACCAGATAACGTTTTTCATAAATAACAATAATAAAGTAATTCCTTTAATTCCTAATTTGCCACTAAATATGAATTTGTTTATCTTTTATAAATGACGTTTAAACGAAACGTCACTTTGACATTTAACATAACCTATAAAAATTTATTAAATTTTTTCGATCTAATCGCTAAACCCGAAAATAATTTATTTACAGTTAGTTTAAGAGGCGAATAAGTAGTCGTTGTGACCCAGTTTCTTTCTTTTCTTTTTTTATTTCGCTACGTTAATATCGTTTCGTTCTTGAGAATAACGGAGACCAACGCGGCTTCGTTAAAAAAAGAAAAAATAACCAGTTTCGGCTCTTTCATCAATGTACCGCTATAAAACTCTTCTCTTACTGTTAAAGAATCGAAAACTTTATTTTTAAGTATTCGATATTTTAATATTAATACACTACAATAATAGAAAATGAAAATAACCCGAAAGAAAAGTGGAAGTAGAAAAGAAATTGGGGTGGCAAATTTGAAATGGGGTGGAAATTCCATCCTCGTATTATTGCCAAGGCGTTACACCTTTAGCATATTCAGCAAGAGTATGAAGAGACGTCGACGCGTATTGTGCTGGTTGCTCGCGATGAACGTCGAATGAATTTTAAAATCCAAATAAAGTTACAACAGTTCTAAAAAAAGGCGTTTTTATTTTTTTTTTGTGCTTTTCGTCGAGTACTTTTTTATTATTTATATCCAACCCAACTGGTTTTATTCATAAAAGACTTCTCAGTACTTTATTTGGGATTAAATATTTTGCAGCTAAATTGGATCCTGCTGGGAGGGAGAGCTAATTATTTCGTGTTCGACCTCGGCGATTTAAATCGAAATCGTTTCTTATAAATTTTGGTAAAGACACTTTAAGAATCACTTTTAAGAAGATATTTATTTTTAAAGAAGAAATTTAGGCAACGTAAGGTGAAAGGATGTTGAGATTATATTGTTTAATAATCAGTTATTTAAATTAAAACAGCAAATTAGCCACTAAATCCCTTCACTAACAATAAGGAAATAATACGATTGGAGGAAGCAACTTCAATCATCTTGTATCTAATAATCCTATCACATATACAAATTGAGTATTTTAGTGGTAAAATAGAAATTTCAACAGTTTAAATCCGAACTTCCGTGAATACAATTTTCGATTAACACCATAAAATTGTGAGTCAAGCTAAATAAGGATTGAAAGAACCTGAAAAAGTCTTTTATAATTTTTCGGCCCGTTTTCTCGGAGAAGCAGGAGATAATTAAAGCGCCGCAGGATTGTAAACATCCTTATGGGTCGCCGGGAATCCTGAAAATCCGGGCGGCGTTCCGGACGAGGGCGCTGAGAGGAAATCACGACATCGTTTTACTGGGGTGTCTAATAACAAAGCGTCCCGGATCGCAAGTCAACAAGTGGCCCCCACGTAGACGTCCGTCGTCGACGTCGTTTGACGCCGCCTCGGCGCCGCACATTCGATTTGGGGGCGTCGATCCGATCTCTTCCGGTCCGTTTAGTGCAAACGTTACGTAAAAATATTACTAACAATCATTTGAAAACATCAAATTTTCTAAATAAAATAATGATTTATTGAATGGAATTAATTTGATTTATATAGATTTATATATTATATAGATTTATATATTATAATGCATAAATGTTGTAAGAGAAAAACGGTAATTTTAAAACGCATTAATAAATAAATGACCTTGTCCGTGAAAAATAACATAAAAAAACTCAATCCGACACGAAGTTTCATTGAAAAAGAACGGGAGGGGACCCGATTTACCATGGATTACGTTGTAATTCGTAATACATACGTAAAGCAGGTACCGAGAGTTTTTTTTTGTTCGTTATTATTTATTATCGAAGCTCCGTGACGTTGTAAGCATTGTTTGCGAACGAATTACGACCATTTTACTGTTACGTTTAACATAAAATACAAATTACCTTTTATATTAATTATTCCATTTATTAAACTATTCGCAACGAATTATTTAATTTGTGCCCTTATTAATTAGTTTATATGTTAATTTGGATTCATTTTGAAATGATTTGTTTAGTTTAGTTGGAATAGAAAAAAGTAGTTAAAAATTGAAAATCGTCCGACCGTGGAATGTCCTTTCGCGAATGTTACCTCGTAGCGAACGTTTCGCTTTCACTCCTTTCTACCTATAAGACCGGTTCGTTCGTAACGCAACAAAACGCGTCTAAAAAACCAAAACCGTTTCGATCCGAAATCAAATATATTAATAAATAAATAAAAAAGGGGAAAAACCTTTTTAGAAACGTGCGTAATCCTCGGTCGTTTTCGATTATTTATTTAACGCGGGCTAATTTAACTATTCCGATACAGGCGCCTTCGTTCGTCGAACTCGTTTCGCATACAAATTTATTTCACTATGTTGGTTGGGTTATCGATTCAACAAAATTAACAGCTACGTAACTTGCCTTAAAGTTTAAAGTTATTATATATAAAGTGTTTCAAAAGTTATTTATAATGAAATTATAGCAAAAGTCGTTCACTACAGGTTTCGGTCTTCAAGACCTTCTTCAATCACAGACATCAAACTTTACATTTATATGTCTTGGTAAAGATACAAAGTTGTTGATAAAGAGACATTTATCCTTAAACCGTCGAGGTCTCTTACGGGCGAGGAGCTAGGTTTGATATATCTCAAAACAAAATCGTTTGCAAGATTCTAGCGCCTTGCCCGCAAGCGACCTCGGCGATTTGAGGTGAAATCGTTCGTTGTGTTAGAGATTTCGTATTGATATATCAAATCTAGCGCCTCGCCCGCAAGCAACCTCGGCGATTTGAGATGCAATCGTTCGTTATATTAGAGATTTCGTATTGATATATCAAATGTAGTGCCTCGCCCGCTAGCAACCTCGGTGATTTGAGGCAAAATCATTTCTGATATATATCTTGGTAAAGATATATATATGAGGACTGTATCATCTTTATAGAAGACTGACTGCTTGCAGAAAACAAGTTACCGTTGGAAGAATACTAGATACTGCTAATGAAGAACTATACATTCTTGACAGAAGAATAGATATTGCTAATGAAGGACTAAATGCTGTTGGCAGAAGACTAAACACTGCTGGCTCCTTCTGTTTATACATTTGATGTTTCCAGAAGACTAAATACTGTTAATACACTACTAAATTTGGTAATATGAGACTAAATACCTATTACAGAACACCATTTACTGGTGGCATAAAACTAGATACTGTTAATGGAGGGCTAGATGTTGCCAGAAATCTAAATATTGCTTTCAGAAGACTAAATGTCACTGTTAAAAGATTCTACTAATGGAAGACTATATATTGATTATGGCGAACTAGATACTGCTGAAAGAAGAATAGATACTATTTTCAGAAGACTATATGGTGCGTATGGAAGACTAGATATTGTTAATGGAAAACTAAATATTTCTTAAAGAACCCAATACTGATTATAAACGTTTAGGTACTACCGGCCTAAGTCTAAATATCGTTGGGAAAAACCATGAAATTGATTAATTGAAGTTTAGACATTACAATAGTACGTAATAGAAAACGATAGATGGCACTACCGCAAACTTCAATATACATAAAGCGTTAGCTTATTTAATTGAAATTACAAAAAACAGATTAATGTAAATACAATTAATTTTGGGAAATGAAAAAATAAATTTTTAAGATTTTAATGAACACACTGTTTGCGTTTTAATAATTTCGAATTAATTCGAAATAGGAAAAACCGGATTTTCGCTCTCTGTTCTTTAAGTAAGCACCGATCGGCGGGAATGCGCCTCGACCATATACTTTTACTTCGGTCCGGGGCATTTCAAAGGTCGATATTGCTTTCTAAATATTTTTCTTTCATCTCGAAACGAGTGAGGGAGCCGCCGCGGAGGTCGTACGATTGCCGCCGCCACCGTTTCTTCAACCTATCGGAATTATTTTCGCCCCCTTACAATTTCATTCCCTCCGATGCACTTTTTATCAACTTTATCCATTATTAAGTTTCCTTCTAACTACACGGAGATTAATAAAAAAATTCTTTTTTTATGCTATATAGAGAGAAAGAAAAGTCGTTGTGTACGATTTTTTGCAATGAGGTCCTTGGAGATGTCTGCCCCATGGCACGAAGAGGACGAAGACGTAGAAGTGGACGACGTAGAAATGCGCAAGGACCGTGACGAAATGAGTGAAACGAGTAGCGATGAAGCCACCGGCAGAAAAATCGCTAGAAGGAAAAATGGTGGTGAGTTCTTAATCTCGAAGGGGATTATTTTGTTATTATCCTCAACCCCTTTTGTCTCCTATATAATTTAGCTCAATTTATATTAATTATTGTTTGTTAACGCTAATAATCGGGTTGTTTTGGATTAAAGTGGTAATTTGTCCCCTTCCGAGAAGAGTTTTAATGTAATCCGAACGTAATCCGAAACTCCTAATTGAATAACTTCGGAAAACGGAAAGCTTTGAAATTAACCTGAGTTACCGAATGATACTTAAAACTTTCTTCCACGCATTAAAGGTGTTTTATTTTAACTTTTTCCCTTTTTTTGTTAATAGGAAGCGCTTCGAGTAGTGGTGGATCAAGCGGTGGAGCTACGAGGCGTCGAAAAACTTGTATAAGCGCCCGCGAAAGGAATTTGCGAAGATTAGAAAGTAATGAACGCGAAAGAATGAGGATGCACTCTTTAAATGATGCATTCGAGCAACTTAGAGAAGTTATACCTCACATCAAAATGGAAAGAAAATTATCCAAAATTGAAACGTTAACGTTAGCTAAAAATTACATCATGGCTTTAACGAACGTTATTTGCGAAATGAGAGGAGAAGAAAAGCATTACACGTAATAATATAAATAAAATAAATCTATGTGTTAATGAGAATTTTTTATTGATTTAGATTCCAAGATGTCGAAGAAGATGCCGTGGATCTTGAAACGTCGAATAGCGAAGATGCTGTTAGGGAGCAGAATAATAATTCGATGTTTCAACAAAACTTAGAATCGGCGCAAGAAAAATTAATGAACAGCCGTTAATTATAAAAATGAATTTAATTAAAAGAATGTGGTGATTCGCTTGCCTTTGCTCTGTATGGTTAGCTTATATTAAGTTGACGCAAAGTGAAAAAGACCGATTTTAACCCCAAAAATATAAAAATTACCGAGTACTTTAAAAAAATGCAGCTAATTGCCATTTATTTCGAAAAAAAGTACTTAATACCGGGAATTTCATATAACTCGCAATATATAAATGCAGTAACCATAGTTATGAAACTACTATGTTCTTGTACTGTCCCACATAAAATGCAACATAGCTTAATAGTACAAGCATTGGGTAGTTTTGCAAAGGAAAAGTTTTGCTTGGAAAAGGTGATAACTTTGAGTTTCCGCCATAAGAAACGCACAACTAAACCCGAATGTTTCTGGTTCTAGGTCTAGTGTTACTTCTAGTTTTAATCCTTATGCAGCGCTAGACCAAGAACTAGAATCATTTGGGCTTAGCCGTACGTCTCTTAAGACGGCTAAACCCGAATGATTGCATTTTATGTGAGACAAAGAAGTAGGTACGCCATGGTTTCTATGGAAATATATTTTTGTATATTGCATCTTAAGTGAAATTCACTGTATAATGACGATTATTAAGTTATCTCTCTTATTTGTCCTCTTAAGTTAATATTAAAACATAAAAATTAGTTTTATAGGCGTAGATAAAAAATTATGTACATAAAAGAAATTAACTATGTAATAAGCGTTAGAACCAGCGAATGTGATTTTTTGTGCTTCCGTCTTAATCAAAATCAAGTTAATTTTGGCCTCAACATTAAAAATTATTTCATTTGGGGATATCACCAAAGATATTATGTAGAATAATTATTTTTAATTAATTGAAAAATGTACTTGGATTAATGAACGTACCCAATCTGTTTCTGTCAAATAAACGTCACTGTCAGTGTCACTTAATGTAAGTACATGATTCAATTTATATTCTATATTTTATCTTCGATGCTTTATATTGTGTAAATAAATCGAAATGTAAAAAAGAGGTTATATTAAAATAATGGGAATCAAGTATTAATTATTATTCGATCGGAATAGCTAACGTTGTAAATGTAGGTTATGTTTAAAAAAAAAGTTACCTTTTTGCCGTTTTTATTTCGCAAAATGAGAATAAATAGGGTAAAGATAAAACGGTTAATGCTCAATTTTAGTTTTTCGTTGATGTCTTCCTGTTTTGTGTTTAAATTAATCGTAGTAGATGCAAATAGAAATTTATAGTCGTCAAGAGCTACACATTCCATAAAAATTAACTAAAAAAAATTTTAAATTAATAAAGTAACCTGATTGTAAACAAATCAAGACTGAATATTAATCGAGTTAAAAACTCGATAAAACTAAACCGAAATGTACCTAAATGTAACGAAGAATATCGTGAGACAAAAATTGATTTTTTTTTAATAGTACTTCGAATTATTTTTTTCTACTTAATATTTTGCTGAAAATAAATTCCTTATTTTTCTAAAACGCCCAAAAATAAAGTGTTCGTTAACGAACGCTGTTATTATTAAAGATAAATGTGATATTGTAGCGGAAAGATTTTTTAGGTGAAAAAATTAAAAAAAAAAATAGGCAAAAAAATGTTACTTAGCCGAAATTTAATTATATTTATCATTAAATAATATATTCTCTATTTTATTATAAATGTACTATACCGATATACATATATATTATATATAAATGTATTTTATTGTAATTATTGTCTATTAAAAGCGCGGTGGGATCCGTAAAAGATCAATTACTAAAAAAAGTGTATTTAAAAAGAAATTGTAGATATCCTAAAAACGTATCAAAGAGAATTACGCGCAAAATCGACCATGAATGTGAGAAATATATATTATGTGGTATATTTAAGCCTTTTTTTAAATCCTTCTTAATTAAAAAAAAAAGGTTGGTAACAAATTAGATTGGTTTCCATGGAGATTCATTGCATCCAACAAAAAGAAAAAAAGTGACTGTTACTACAAATATTTAATTTAATTCGGAATTAAATTACGAATTTTAATCAAAGTAACATTTCTCATTGGATTTTAAGATCATATTTTATTAAATTAACATTTTTTAATAATTTTTCGTTGACAGCAAACCAGATGGTTTCCATGGACATTTTACCTCACAAGATGTGTTAATTCAAATTTTAAACAATTTTAATCTTATAAAAGAAGTAATAAATAAGATTTAATAACAAAACTCGCCAATTAACCTCAAAAGCATTCCATTTTATGCTGATTCCGAACTCCCGGGGAAGATGCCATTGTTCCCGATTTCCCCACCTAACCTAACCTCAAAGTAAGTACAACATTAATATTTTTTGATAAATTCCTTTAATTACAAAATCTTTTGATTGGATTTTAAGAGGATTTTATTATTGATTAATCAAAATTTAGTAACCAACTTTCGGTTGGCAACAGTTGACAACTGATCAGCTGTTTTTGTTTTGGTTTATATTTTGAATTGTTTTTTAATGTTGAAAAAAGCAATTTTTTAACTAAAGCGCCCTTCAGACGATCAATATAAATATTGTCAATATCTGAGTATTGACAATATTATTGAACGTGTGAGTAGAAAGATTGACATATTGTCAATATTAAAAATATTGATGGGATAGTTTGACGAAAACGAAAATATTTGATATATTGACAATAAATATGGACAGTCTGAGGGAAATATTGACAATCCTACGTTAGTAGAATTATATTACGGATTATATCGTGTAATAATGAATTCAAACAGATATACTTTAATGGACAAAAGTGCTATTAATTCTCCGGATGGTTCATTAACACATGCAAACATGACATGACATCTTTGACTGCCAACGCAAAACTAATTGTAAGTAGATTGTCAATAAATATTAATAGTCTGAGGCAATTATAGTTTGTCAATAGATTTATTGGCCATATTGACAATATATATTGATTGATATTGATCATGTGAAGAGCGCTTGAAACACTTAAAATGAATCAAGTACGATTTCAAAATTAACCTTTAATCGACCGAAAACAGATTTTTATAAAGTGGCAGATTGGTTCATATCTCGACTGTTATAGGTTAAACTATTAATTCATAGATGTCGCGCGTAGTGTGACATTAAAGAAAATTTATATTCAAATTAAGTCCGAAGTTTATTAATAATTAGTTTTTTAACTTTATTATATGTTGATGTTTATCAAAAAAAAAAATAATAAAAATAAGTCTTGGTCAATTATATCATCGATGTACACGATTCAACTTGTAAATTATCATTTTAAATTGACTCTCGCAGAACCGTTCGGGCACTATCTCAATCTGTAAAGGCCCGAGGAGGGTCTCAACTTTGCCCGGAAACCCCAATAACCGCTGCTAAGAGGAAACGGTTAGAATCAACTTTTTTGAATTCTAGTAAATAATTTTTTAAAATATTAATTGATAAAAAGTTATGAATGAGATGAAAAAATAACGAAAAGAAGAAAATGTGGATTCGTTGGAGGTCGTTGAGGTCGTTTTCGGATGGTTTTGGGTGTGGTCGCTCGCGATTCCTAGTAATTAATACGGCGAGTTGTTGCGTTGCCGTTATTTGTAGCGGCCCCAGCGAAGACTGGCTGCCGATGATACCCTCTCTCCTTTTCTTCTTTCCCTCTTCGTTCATCCGGATTTATGTTGGGCATCCGCGCTATGACCATTAATACGTCCACCAAGAGTTATAATTTTAACTCTTCCCTCCACATACAAAGTAAATTCACATATGTGACGTTCTAAAATTCAATCGCTTTGACAGTTCTCACTTTGATAAACTAATAATTTATAAAAGAAAGAAATTCCCCTTCTTAAAACAATCTCTATTAGTTTTCCCGTGTCCACACAAGCAATGATTGGTGAATGTCGAGGAGGTGGGCCGCACCTCCGACTCGTAATTGCCGTTATTAATAGTCTAAGGCGACCAACGGGGACCAAGACGTCGGACTTCGGTACATCACGCGCAGTATTAATCGGAGACACTTCCACAATTCGCCTCCTTCTTCGTCTCCCTCTACCAGTTAATTGCCTTTTTTCCCTCACTCCACAAATCCGAAAATCTTTACGAACAGAAATCGCATTAACATCCCACGGCGAAAACATTTTGTTCGCGGTAATTGAAACTTTCAACGTAGAAAATTAAATCATGCAACTGCAAATTGCTGCAAAATTGTGAAGAAATTAATGGTACTGGTAAGAAGAGGAACAGGAAGATACGTATAATTAACGTGGTTTACCGTAGACACGGAGATACGTTTAACATTCTTGAAATGGCACGAGAGTTATGCGAAACGTCCGCGTTTATCTCGTTATGTTATTAATTATTTCGTTTCAACATTTTCTTATTTCATTTTTTAATTTTGTCTAAAACACACGTTATTTTGTTATTTAGTTATTTAGTGATTTAGTAGTGGAAGTTTGACCCGAGGCACGTCTTGTAGCCATTTGGTTGGGTTGGGGTCAAAGTCGATGCAACAAGATATAATTGCAATCGTACGTCAGTCAATGTCTGCCCTGAAATCTGGTAGATCCGGCCCGGGAGGAGGATGTCGAGGCCATGGTAGCACACGTACGGGTCAACGTCGTGACGCCCGGGGCTCGGGCGCCGTGCCCGTGCCACACTGCGGGGTCACCTACTGCAAGGAAAACCACAACACTACCTATAACTATACCAAATGTAACGGCTAATTATTAACTCCCACAATTCGCACATTACAGGAAGTATCTATATATAGATAAGAACATTTTTATTTATTAAAATTAATAACAAGAATTAACGTTTTGTTTTTTAGATCTTCAGTTGTTACTACTAAGAACTAGAATAAGCTTAATGCTTTACTATTGAGTAAGCTTTTTTGGACTAATATGTAGTGAGATCTAGTTGATACGATAAAGTCTGATAAATGGAAGATAAATGGACAGAATAGAACTCAACCCAACATTTCATTTAGTATTACCGACACTTGAAGGGAGTGAAGCTGTGCCATAGAAGTTTGTGTGAGAAGGATACAACTTTTAAAGTTATCAAACTCATTGTTTTTGCACCGCACCGGATTCGAGAATTAAATGTTTATCATTGATTCAATATAGATTATAATAGTACGCGGACACCGCGTACATACAGGTGTCCCAAAGATGGGTGATACTCTTTCCTTGAATGGCGATGGCTGATATAGCTGCCATTGTTGGTGTTTATCTTCTTTCCTCTTTATGCAGGAATCGGGCGACCAAGTACAACGTGTTAAAAGTCGGCGGCGAAGACTGTCTATTATAAATTACTGTCTATATCCGTGGATATCTACGAATGAGAGTACGTAAGTGTACAATTCACAAAGATAAAATAAGATCTGGATGACATGGATACTCTATACAGTGAATTTCACTTAAGATGCAATATACAAAAATATATTTCCATAGAAACCAGCAGTCTTGAGAGACGTGTTAGTTCTAGTTTTGTACTACCACTATCACTAGACCTAATACAAGACCTAGAACTAGAATCATTCGGCTTTAGCCGTCTTGAGAGACGTGAGACGTCTTTGAATAGCCGTACTATTCACAAAATCATTTTATACTAGTAAACAGCGCCATCTAGCCAAAATTTTGAAAAATGTATCTAAGAAAAATTACTTCTGATTAGATTCTACACAAACATTATTTAAAAAAAATTTTGATACAACCCTTAATTATTAAGATAACCTCAAAAATATCACTTTTATATCACTATTTAGCGCCACCTGGAGAAAACATCGAAAATGTACGTTAAAAAATTGATTTTGAATCACAATATACGGAAATATTATACGAAACATTTTTGTATTAATACAAAAATAAATTTTGACAGGTTTTAATATATCGTGAATTGCCGTACTGTTCACACTGAGCTGATATATAATTAAAATATCAACTAACTGTTTGGATACTCTTGGTAAACTTTTGTTTGATAATCTTTCTCCGTATTGGCATATAATAAACTTGATCACTTTAATCAACTTTATAATTGAGGTTATGTTAAAATCGATAGTAACAAATTCGTGAAGAAGCGGTACAACAATCAAAAGACATAAAACAAGACCAATCGATCCGTGGCGGTCCCGGTAATTTCGTTACATGAGAGATTTCTTATTATTTTTCATGACTAAGCTCCTTTTCGACCTTAGGAAAAACCGCTTCGGGTTTGTTTAACGGTTCGTCCCCCGAATCGTTTCGGTTGCGACACACTCTCGGCTAATAATCTCCTAATAATCTCTATTACAAAAAAAAATAAATAAATACATCGAAAATAGATGTTTTGATTTTAGAAATAGAACAAGATTAAAATGATTTTATGATGGGGATCGATTTACAATGCGAATTAAAATGGGGTTCTGCGAGGGGGCTTTAAAAAGATCGTCCTCGTCGTCGCCTGCGTACGCGGCATCAATAAAAGTTGAGATAGTCAATCTAAAACGGCCCCTCTTCTCTCGATGTATGTGGGAACTTCTCTTCGACGATCCAACGCTTGACCACCGCCTCTCTCCACTATATGCATATTCGCACCGGACAGTTGTAAACATTTAGTTCATTTACATAAACTATTCATCTCTACCCAAAGACCCCACTACATAAAAAAATTTAAAAAAGAA